ACGCTCGCAATGTTAGGGACTGTGGAGTTTGCCATTAGTTGAGAGCGGTTGAGAGCGAAAAATGGTCTAGAGATACATTTAGGGATAAAGAGTTCTTCATTAAGCTTTTGCTAAATAATTTAATCAATAGTCAAATGGTGCTGCTGAAGTAACTTGTCCTATTTCCCTCTCAGTATGCTTAGATTTGCCTATTATTTTGCTCAACAACATAATAAATCTCATATTAGAGTGTAGAGGAAGATATACTAATTTCTTGAGGAAATCTCTCTTTTTTTAAGCTAAGTTCTAAAACATGATAGTAATGGCACATTAAAGTTTTAAAGCTATTAAGCAACCATGTAAGAAACAATGAATGTGGATGTTTGCCATTTTGAAAACTTTGTAGGCTATTTGGGGAGAGATGTCAAGATAGGGTGTTATGAGAATTAACATGTAGAAGACTCTCGACCACAAGATATAATTAGGGCAATTGAATTTGACATTGATTCTGATGGTGGGGGATTTTGACTGAATGATATATAATTGAGAAGCCATGACATTGTTTGAGAGCTGAGAATTCAAGAGGTAATCTCTTAGATCATTTACACTACATAAGTCATGAGGTTGTCATGCCGTTAGTTGTGGGCATGCTCAAAAAGCATATAGGTTAGGGCGTCAGGCATGTGATCAACTAGGTAAGCACAACATATGACTGTTCATGAAAATTAAGAGGGTATTCATGTAAGCGTGTGCAAGGACAATAGCAATGTGATCAAGTGTAATGAGCTTGCGATCGACCGGGCAGACAAGCATTCGAACGATGGGGTGTTGTGATAGGAGAGAGAACTTGAATAAGGCATTAAACGTTGCAAGTGATAAAAAAAAATGTTGCAAGTGACAAAATCAAGAGGCTAGCTCAAGCGGTTGGGTCTGGATTATAAGGTAGGAAGAGAGAGATTGGAGGGTAAGAGTCAACCTAGCTCATATACCATTTTAGAGGATAAAATTAATGTGTGCTATTCATTAAAGATCTCCCCATTTTTATAATGAAAGGATGAGTATAATGTTCTAAGGTATGTCTAAAAGGCTAAAATTACCTACATTGCTCTTCAATTATAGATTTTTGTTTGGGACTACTTGTGCTTTTCTGCTTTTGCCATTGAAACGTTCTTTCTTAACTACAATTTTTATTATTTTTCTTCGAAAGCATCTTTTTAAGATTATTTTAAAATTTCATCCAAACGACACTATCTCATGTTAATTATTTTTCCTAGGATAAAAGCAATCCAAAGGTGATGTGATACATACACGTGCACGAGAATTGATTTGGAAATTAATAACAATTTGAACTTTACTTTACTAGTTGAAAACTTATGCTTCACCAAGTAATGATTTTGGAATTTGTCGTTACAAGATTAAGTAAAAGTAAACGATTACAATGGAGATTAACGAAGTACTTGCAAGCGATTAGCAAAAGTAAGTAGATAAACTAATGGCGATGAAACAATAATCCACGATGCAAAATCAAGATGTTTCACTTTGAGTTCCTTCTCTCTTACTTGTAGTGGGTTTAGTGGAGAAAGGGTAGAAGCAAACCGAGTGATGTTACCACGAGACAAGTGAAGCGTAAGGCTTTATTCGCCGGAGAAGTAGCCGAGGGTGGAGGATGGGTGGATTTCCCAATGAGAAGCCAAGGCGTCTTGGGCTTTTGAAGATCAATCGTCGCCGCCAAGCAGTAGAGAATATGTTTGACGTAGTCTTTCACCGATTCGTCGTACTCCCAGTCAGGCTCGTAGAAGGGGGAGCGGAGAATGTCGATTTCTCCTAGGGCGTTGTAAGAGAGGCCGTGATCGACCTCATGATCGGCCATGCACCAAAGATGAGAGGAGGAGTTGTCTTCTTCTCTTGTCTTCCAATGGCATGATAGGTGCCGGTTTCAAGAAGGAGAGGAGCTAAGGAAGAGGGGGGAAGGGGCGGCCAAGGGAGGAAATTATGTGGGCTAAAGGGGAGTTAGTGTTTGTGAAAACTGGAAGGAAAATAAATCTGAAATTAATTTCAGATTTTGGGAGGTTTGGGAGGGAATTAAATTTGAAATTTGATTTCAAATTTAATGTGGTGAGGGCTCAATGAGGAAACAACAAAAGCCAAGCCCAATGAGGGGGGCCGGCAGCATGAAGAGGAGGGAGGGGATTGTGGGGGAGAGTTTTATGAGTTTCCTAAAAAACACATAGGAATTAGGAAAGATATTATAAAATCCAATTTAATTTGTATTTCAAATAGATTTGAATTCATGCACTTTCCTAATTAAGATTTGCAAATAAGGAAAATATTTGAAATTTGAATTTCAAATTTCAAATATAAGTAATTACTTTCCTTTTCCTTTGGAGCTAATTTAGGAAGGGTGTAATGATGATTGAAATCATCATAATGGAGGTGGATTCAATGGGGAGGCCAGCAGCAATGGGGGGAGGGCAAGGGGTGGCGTCGGGTGTGAGTGAGGGGATATTCGAGCTACCATTTGGGAGAGGAAGCTAGGTGTTTCTTGAAGGTCGGATTTGGATCGGGTAGATGCAAGGGTGGAACTCGGTCGGTGGATGGGTAATGGCCGGCAGGTGTAAATGGGGAAAGATGGGAGGGGAGATAGAAACCACGAGTCACAGACTCTTCCGATGACTGGTGGGTATCAAGGTTTAAAATTGCGTAATTAAGCCTCGAGGCGTTTTTCGTCCGTGAGGTGAGGTGTAAGCCTCAAGGCGGTCTGAGGCGTAAGCCTCACGGACACAGAATTGCGTAAATGAGAAATTAAGGATTTAGCAGGATAATAATAGTAATATTCTATCTTACAATAAAAATATCTAAATGATATATGAAAATAATGGAAAGTAACAAAATAGATGCAATAAAATTATGTCCCAAAGTACAAAATCATAAAATATTAGTTCAACAAAACTCCGAAAGTACAAAGAACATATAAAATACAATCATATCCCATCACTAAATGGATCTTCAAGGGAATCTTATTCTCCAATTGTATCTATGAATGTCATATCATCATCATCTTCAATATGACTCACTTTTCTCTTCCCTGTTCAATAAGAGAAAATATCATTATCATGTTAATTGCTCACTTGATATAAATATAATGTGATAGCATATAAGAAGTTGTGGAATACCTTTACTTGATTGTTGTGCTGCAGAGTTAGTGGATGTGTGTGGTGTCGTATTAGTGGATGTGCCTACTTGATCTACTTCGCCCCTCATCCACACTTAGATCTTCTAGCTATAAGTCTGATAATGACAAATCTGTCTCATCATCTATGAACCACTCATTATTAGATGACACATCATCATACACCAACGTGTCCTCATTCTCTTCTGGATTAGTCATATACTTATCCATAGGACCCCGTGCACCTCTATTATGTATAGTGGAGGAAGAGCCCTTTCCACTCTCGCTCCCAAAATAAGCGCCATGCTCGACCCTATCATCAAATTGCTCCTGTTGCAACTGTTTTGCCGTGATACTTTTCTTCATATAAGCAATAATTTCCTCATTCACCTTTTCCGGCACATTTGCATACGGTTCTACGTTTTTATGCGAGCATGATAAGTGTTCCTTCATGAGGGTAACACCTCCCTTCACCATTTTTTCGCAAAAATTGCATTTCAAATAAACATAGCTCTTCTCTCCGCCGCCTATGTCAACTTGTACACTATATTTCCAAGAAGGGTCCCTCCGCAATGACGAAGACTCCTTTTCCTTGCCTCTAACCATGATCCCTAATGAAAGAATCAAAAATCACACAAAATAATTCAAAAACCCTAGAATTTCTTTCACTTGAAAAATCTAACCAAAAACTATAAAAAAACCTAAAATCGTTTGTGGACTTCTCCTACAAGGCGGTCGGACACTTCGAGTTTGCATGAGAGAGGCGGCGCCGGCGGGAGAGGCGGCAGGAAGGGTGGCCGACCGTGCGGGAGGCTAGGTTTCGCGACCTGGAGATTGCGGGCAGGTAAAAATCGCGAAATGCCTGTAGCCGATCGGGTATAAGGGAAAAAAATGCTCATTTTAAGTAGGTTTTTTTTTTTTTTTTTTTATTTGCTCATTTTAAGTAGGTGTGACCATTTTCCCATAATTGCGCAATTGAGGCGTGCCTCACACAGGGTGAGGCGTACGCCTCAAACAGGGTCCAAATTGTGTGCGCATCGAGGCGCTTTTGGAAAAAATTGCGCAGAGGCGCGCCTCTTGTTGCGCAATTTTAAACAGAGGTGGGTATTGCACTTGCCCTCACTCCGGTCTCTCTCTCTCTCTCTTCTCTCGAGCACAAGCACAGAAGCGGAAGAAGAAGACAAAAATCAAATTTCATTCAAAATAATAATCATCTTTTTACAAAGCATAAGGTCACTATATATAGGCCTCCAACATAAATAAAAGCCAAAGTACACAAATGCCCATAAGGCTACAATAAGAAAACACTCCCCATATGGGTAAACTCGGAAAACTGAAGATAAAATAAATAAAACACATCAAAAGTAAAGACTATGAATTGTAGCCGTCGATCTACGATTTCTTCGCCGGTACAGATGTCAGAATCTCTGAGTGATGTCCTCATCAAAAAGCCAATCCCAAATGAAGCCATAGAGAATCTTTGTATTTAATATATTCCTATTTTTAACACTAAATATAATGAAAATAGGGTTTAATCCTGCAAGGTTAGTTTTTAGAATTTATAGATTTATGCCATTTACACTTTCAACAATTATGGTCTATTAGAAAATTATTTAAAACATAAACAGAGATTCTTGCCATGCTATTTTGACACTTACAATTTAAAATTGACTTATCTGTTCCTGTGCTTTGTTTTATGATCTTCCACGGTATGTCTGTTCTTTGTATTGTTTGATAGTTCCAAGCCAACTTTCAAATGTACTTGTACTGAAATTGTCTTTCAGACTTGATATTTTTGTTTTGGCAAAGGAAAACAAGGCCTAATTTCTGTTTTCTTTTCGTTGTGTATTAGTTTCACTTGCGTCCCTACTCTCAGCTTGGATTGGACAGATCTGCTATTCCGGAACTGCTAAATCAGACACAAATTTTCAATGAACTACTTTCTGAAATCCCTGAAATAAAAGACGTTTCTAAATGTATAAGTTCGTTCTGGAGGAATCATGTTGAGAATAAAGGTCCGAGACCCTTAACGTGTGGTGAGGTGGTGGAGGAACCATGGATAAAAGAAGCTTCTCAACTTTTTGATGATAACTTGAGAAATCAAAGGAAAAATACATCTAAAATAGGAGTTCCTTGTCTAAATTTCAATCAAAAACCTGAACTTGATGATGTCTCTGATATTCCCCCTTGCTTGGACAATATAACGAGAGAAGACATGGAAATTGTTCTGTTGGGTACAGGCTCAGCACAACCCTCAAAGTATCGCAATGTCAGTTCTATCTTTATCAATCTTTTCTCTAAAGGGTGTCTACTTCTCGATTGTGGTGAAGGTACTTTGGCACAGTTGAAAAGAAGGTTAGTTTAACTTTCTACCTCAGTTTGTATTCATTCTGTTCATATTTCGGAATGTTTTCATATCCAGTTGTTTGCAGGTTTGGAGTTGACGGTGCTGATAATGCCATGAAAACTTTAAAATGTATTTGGATTTCTCATATTCATGCTGATCATCATACTGGTCTTGCTCGAATACTCGCGCTGCGATGCCAGCTTCTGAGGGATTCGCCTCATGAGCCTTTGCTTGTAATTGGACCAAGGTCACTGAAGAGATTTTTAGATGCTTATTCTAGACTTGAAGATCTGGATATGCTATTCTTGGACTGCAGACACACAACAGAAGCTTCCATGGATGCTGTTCTCAGTTCCCATGGTTTGGGTGAAGATTGCTTTGCCGAAGTTGAAGAAGAAGAGAACAGAGCAAAAGGATCAGAGCCTCAACTTGTGGAGACTACCTTATTTGGCCAAGGCAGTAAAATGCAAAGCTATTGGAAGAGGCCTGGAAGTCCAGTTGACATGGCCACAGTTATGCCAGTTTTGAGGAGATTGAAGGAGTTGCTTCATAAAGCAGGTTTAGAGGCTTTGTACAGTGTCCCTGTTATACACTGTCCACAGGCATTTGCTGTTGTTTTGAAAGCAGCCGAGAGGACAAATAGTATGGGAAAAGTCATACCAGGTTGGAAACTGGTCTATTCCGGTGATACAAGACCATGCCAATCACTCGTTGATGCTTCTCACAATGCAACTGTTCTCATACACGAGGTGAGTGATCCTATCTGGATTTTCTATTTTCATGCAGCTTTAATACATAAAGCTTTATGAGAATGAATTTTATTATTTTGAATGAGCGAAAGGTAAAATCTTAGTTATATTTCTGAAATAGGAATTTTTGAAACCAAACAAGATCATAAAAAAGGAGAAGCAAACTTTCAAGTCTTTAGCATTTGTATAAATATAAATGGCATCAAGATTAGGAGTATTTTACACGACCTGAAAATCCGACTCGAACCCGACCTAAAAATTTTGGGTTAGGGTCAACTCGGATCTGAAATGGGTCGGGTTCAGCAAATCAACCCGTTTCAAAATCGGGTTCGATCATAGAACACAGCTCCTTTCGGTCGAACCTGCCTGTCAAGTTGACACAGTAACCCAAAATTGACCCTTTTTCGACCCGAAAAACCGTTTAGACCCGAAAACCCGAGATTGACTCGATTTTGACACGAAAATCAGAGATTTTTGGTCGGTCCAGGTCATTCGGGTCATGTCGAGTTGACCCGAACCCGAAGTGGGTCGGATTCGGGTCCAAAAAATTGACCCGTTTGCAAAAATGGATCGGGTTCAGGTCCAAAAAATCATCCCGTTTGCAAAAACGGGTTGGGTTCGGGTTGACCCGAATAATACTGGGTCAGTTCCGGGCTCGACCCGAACCCGATCCGTGACCTGAAATTGACACCCCTAATTAGGATATCCTAAAATACTTTTTATTCATAAATGATTTTGCAAAGGAATACTAACATGAGTACATTCCTCAAATTCTGCAGGCAACTTTTGAGGATGGCCTAGGGGAAGAAGCATTGGCAAGAAACCATAGCACAACAATGGAAGCTATACAAGTAGGATCCAAAGCAGGGGCTTATCGCATAATCCTAACTCATTTCAGCCAAAGATATCCCAAAATCCCAGTCTTTGATGAGGCTCACATGCACAATACATGCATTGCTTTCGACCTGATGAGTGTCAACATAGCAGATCTTCATCTGCTTCCAAAGGTTCTCCCTTACTTAAAAGTTCTATTCAGAAATGAAATGGTTGTTGATGAATCTGATGATGCCATGGATTTGACAGTGGACCAATATTAGTAGGATCACAATCCAGGTAATTTTCTGTTCATTTGCCCATTCTTTAGAAGATTTGAGTTTTGTACTTGTATGATAGGCTTTGTTCCCTTTAAAATTATTAGAGTTCTGTAATTTTATTGTTGTTTTATTTGTATACTAACTTAAATGTGAACTTAGGGACCAATCGAACATATTTACTAACTTGTTCTTGTTCATTAACTTACCTTTAAAACACTATTCAATTGAATTATAATGTTGAGACATATATCTTTTTTGTTTTTTTATTCATTTTTTTGCTCACAATGGTCATTATTAACTAATAACTTTCTTCTTTTTTATCATGTGAAAATGTTGCCCTTAAATTCTCTATAATTGGATTTTGTTTATTTTTGTTAGAAAATGTTATATATTCATTATTTTTAAAAAATTTCATTCTTAAATTCAAATTATGAGATTATGATGTTTTGAAGTGTAAGAAGCATCTCGTTGATTAAGACTTCGTTTGGGACGGCTTTTTTATTGCTTTCTAAAATGGATTTTAATACAAAAATAAGAAAATTTGTACTAAAACTCCGTTTTAGTAAGCAATAAAAAAGCCGTCCCAAACGAAGCCTAAAATCATGAGCGTAAATATTTAGATGATAATTTTAGTACAAATTTGTTAGATGTAGAGTTAAATAATTGGTATACGACGACTAGTGAATCTTATTCATAATTTGTCTCATAAGAAACTAACCCCCTCTTTTGATGTACTTCATTGTGACTAAATTTATATGAGAAAGAATTCAATGTAATAGATAGTTGCTTTTATTGTTATAAAGTTGAGTTGTATGATGATATGATTAGAATATTGAAGAAGTCATATATGTAGTAGGCCTAACAAGATGATGATATATTTTAATATTATTAAAAAGAAAGATATATTGAAGTCTTTGAGGGCTTCTTTTGAGATAAATTTTTTTCTATTTTTTAAAATAGTTTTTGTTTTTAGTATTTTTTAACTTACAAGTCATTTTAGAAAGCAATAAAAAATTTGTTCCAAATAAAGCCTTAGGGAAGCACAAAAAGGTCATTTTTTCTAAAAAAAAAGTGTAAGTTGAGGGGAATACTAATGAAAATCATCAAGCATATAAATCATATATTTCTAAATCTTACCCAATACAATTGCAAGATTTAGGCTTTGTTTGAGACGGCTTTTTTACTGCTTCTTAAAGTGACTTTCTAGTACAAAAATTTTAATTCTTGTACTAGGAAGCCGCTTTAAGAAGCGGGAAGAAAGCTGTCTCGAACGAAGCCTTATAGTAATAAGAAATCCATTTTAAGACTGTTGTTAGTATCAATGGACTTGCATTGGTCTTCAGCAAATATGCTTCATAAGTCTCTCATTATTCTCAAGTTCATGTGTCATTTGCTTTGTGTGCTACATAGTGCAAGCCTTCTAAGGCTTTGGTATCTTAAAAATGTGGCTTGGAGAGAAAATGTTATATTTGAATCAAGTTCTATTTTAAAGCCATATAAATAAGAGATGTAAGAAAACCATGAAGAATATTTTTTGTTCTTTGTTTTTTTATTTTTATAAAATGATAAAAATATTTTCTAGTTCAAAATTTTACTTATTTAAAGTTTAAATTACACACCAATTCATTACCATCTTATAGCTACATAAATAAGTGATGGAAGAAAGTAATGAAGATTAATTTTTATTCGTTGTTTTTAATATTATAGAAAAATAAAAATATTTTCTAGTACAAAATTTTACCTATTTAGAGTTTAAATTACAAACCAACAAATACATAACTTTAACATACATAAATACATTTTATATTTTCATATTTATGAGGAATACTCATTTATTTCTTATTTTTTAATTAGAAAATTATATTTTAAAATTTAATTAAATAATTAATATTTTTATTTCTATTATACAATAAAATTCATATAATACCTCTCCTCCATTCATATTATATATAGCATTCATCTCAATATAAATTCAGAAGCTTTAATCGATATTTCTACCGTGAGTTTAGAATGCCACAGAAATCCGTTCGAATTTCCGTTACTCTTATCCTCTTTCGCCGCAATTCCCGCTGTTCTCCTCACTCGCATAAACCATAAAATGAGATTCTTTTCTCATTTCCGCAGCTCCTCCAACAAACCGCCTCGCCGGAGAAGACTTCGCCGCCGGCCGACACTCCATCACTATTCCGCTGAGTACCGCGGTCACAATGCCGTCGCCAACAGATATCGCTTTCACCTTCCACACTTTTCCGAAGCCGGCTCGGGCCCTCACCGTTCATTCGAAGACGACACCTCTTGCAAAGCCAGCGCCGCCGCCGGATTACTTCGTCGTCAACATTCTCGCGCTGCTGAAGCTCATCGCCGGCCTCAAGCTGACGGAAACCGCCGTCACCTCGCCTGCGCCGTCAAAGGCTGTCAAAACCTCGCCCGCTCCGGCCCCGCCGGAATTCTCAGTCGTCGAAATTCCTAATTGGGAAATCTCTGCCACCACGTCAGCCGTGCCGGAGGTTTCCGCAACCACCCTTGTACCGTCGGAAGTTATCATCACCACCGCCCCGCCGCCGGCAAAAACTACAGATTCACTCAACGTCAGGAAACACTCAATGCGCGTAGTGCAGATTATTGTACGGAATCTCGCCGCCATGGCCACCCTCACCGCATCCATTATCATGCTCTTCAACGAAGAGCAGATCCATCTCTCTGGCTTTCAACTCACTGCAAATTACAAATTCTCACCAGCTTTCAAGTACCCTTTTTCTTTTATCAATTTCTTTTTACCCCAAAAAAAAACATAATATTATCAAATTCAAAATTATAAAATAAATACTCATAATTAAAATTCATTTAATTTTTTTATCAATCTAAAAATTGATACAAAATAAGTATATATGTGAAAAGGTAGGAGTAGCGCCAATGGCATATAATATTAGGAAGAGTCATAGTTGTCAAAAATCGACACGACACGATAATACGATCTGAACCTGATCAGAAATTTTCGAATTAGACCCGACCCGATTTTGAAACAAGTCGGGTTCTGGTCTACAAATCTAACCTGTTTGAAGTTTCGGGTCGGGTCCGGGTTAACCCTAGAACCCAGTATATGACCCGAACCCGACCCGTGACCTGATTTTGACAGATGTAATAGTAGATGCATTAGATTTGACATATGTTAATAAAGGTCGAAGTAGACCTAAAATGACTCCATAAAAGTATTAGAAATGATTTGATAAAATTCTTGATAATTAAAATTTATTTGCTATGATTTAATTATGTATTAATTTCAGGTTCTTTGTGATCGGCAATGGATTTGCGTGCATTTACGCCTTTGCTTCAATGATCATTATCATTTGCTACGGATCAAACCTCGCTATGCATTTCTTAGATACGGTAAGATTTAAGATTAATTAATTTCTTAATTACAAAGTTAATTAATAATTATTTGAATTATTTCTTTAGAATATCTTAATTGGAAATTTTTGAATTTGTGCAATGCAATATATTTACGGTTAATTATTGTAATTAGACCATATCAAAGATAATTAAGGTAGCGAAACTAAATTTATTACTTTATGGATTACTTAATTTCACATCATTTCTTTGATTTTTTTTTCTAATTTGATTAGGTTAGTAATAATAATATAATACAATTTGTATAATCATAATAGTAAAAAATAATACATGACATATATCATAAAAAATTTTATGTAAGAATATCCGTATCAGAAATTATTCTGTGCGGAGTCCGAACGTAAAATTTCGTCTGAAAACCAACCAAAATGTGCCACATTAGCGGTATCGAGCCGTAGTACCGAATGAAGAGGTGACGTGACATATTCTGATTGGTCTTCGAATGACGTTCGAAAACCGTTCGATTTGCATTGAGATTACTTCTAAACTAAGTGCAAATCGATGGTGAGCGTTGAAGCTCATGGTGATGTATTTTGTATGATGATATCATGATAAGCTCTTTCGTACGAAATATATTAAGATATTCTGATATAATTTATTTTATTTATGTGCAGTTAGTGATGGGATTGGTCATAGCGGCGGCGGCGGCGACGGCGGTGAGCTATATTGGAAATAAAGGGAATGCAAATGCATCTTGGCAGCCTGTTTGTAACCATGCTGAGGATTACTGCTATCACTCAACTGTCTCTATTGCCTGCTCCTACTTAGGGTTTCTTCTGCTGCTTTTGGTTTTCACTTTGACATTTATGAGCAAGTTATCAATATACAATCTGTCTATGGAGTAGATGTTTAATTTGTATTGAACATTTTATCTTAGGATGTCGAGCTATTTAGGCTTCCTCTGAGATGGTTTCTTACTGCTTTTTAAAGCTGTTTTTTAGTATAAAATTTTTAAAATTAAAAATATTTGTACTAAAAAAGTACTTTAAAAAGCAATAAAAAAGCTATTCCAAACAAACAAAGCCATAGTTTCTTTTTCTTTTTTTTTATTTTATTGAAATTGCAATGAAGCCTTGAAATTTTGGAATTGGATGAATAAATATAGTGCTTTCTTTTTAGGGATTTGTTGGTGTATGAAATATAAAGTCATTTGATTTGAATAAAAATTTGTAGTGCCTATTTTTTATATGATTTTATTTTGCTTTAAAATATATAAGAGAGAATATACTAAACAAATAAATAGAGAGATAATTTCTAAGTCATCTAACAAGTAAATATATATAACTTTTGATAGCACTGAAATTAAATAATTATTTTCATTATAAATTATGACATTTGACACTCATTCACTCTTTAAAATATTATTTTTTTATTACTCATTAGGGGGGTGTCAATAAATGGCCTGATCCATCAACCCAATCAGACCCAAAAATCAAATTCAGGTTGACCACAAATATATTTAATATATCTTTTCTTGAATTTTTTTACATGTAAGTATAATCATATTATTTTTTTATTAAATATCTTAAATTTTATAATTAATCATTTATAAAAAAATTAAATCAAAATGGATTAATGAATTGGGTTCAAGTAATTTGGGTTCTTCGCAGATTAGATTTGGATTGATATTTTTGAATAAACAGGTTGAATTCAAATCAAATCAATTTCAGGTCAGCTACAATCCAACCTATCAATCTATTTTTATAAGGAGAAACTATTCTGTGCGGACACCGGACAGTCCGGAGATCAACCAAAACGCGTCACATCATCTGATACATAGTGATGTGGAGAGTTCCCATTGATCTCTGGATAAGTTCGGACCCACAAAGAATAATTTTTATTTTACAAGCTACTATTCCTTTGTTTTTAGCGCTTGGACGTCTCCAATTTGCGTCAATGCATTTCCCTGTAATAATAATCCTGCCGTCTTTATTGTTGTCCTCACTTGAGTAGGACTAGTAGAAGCGATGTTGAAGAAAACCCCAAATCAAAACTTTTTCTTCAGATCCCAATGATTTTGTAGGCCTATATCGTTATTTCAAGCATGCCAGTAAGGATTTCTAGCTTCAAAAGCTCTGACTTTTTTCTTTTTATGTAATAAAGAGCCTGTGTTGCGGATGAAATTCTGTTCTAATCATGTTTTGATGGCATACAAAGCTCGATCGATTCTGTTAATAATTTCAAAATCGAAACCCTAGAAGTCCGATATTATTGTAGTTTGTGATTGCTAAACAAACCGTTCCGTTTCTTTTGAGGTCAATTTTATAGTTTCTGTTGCAAATTTCTTCAGTTTTTTAAGGTCCTGTCTCGGTTTTATGTTTGTGTTTCATTTCTCCATGTTTAGAAATTTTCAGTTATATATCTCGGTGAATTTCTTTGTTGTTTGCTCTTTAGTGGAAGAGCTTTAAGGGGGTGTTTGGTATAGGATTGGATTCAATTTTAGTAGGATTTACTAAATCCTGTAAATCCGGATTTAGTAAATCCTAAGCTCATAAATCCTAAAAAATGTTTGGTATGACAAATTTTAAATCTTGTTAAATCCAGAGAAGTTGTTTGGCAACACATCGCGACACGGGTGCCGCAGGAAGAAATTCCGCAACTGTAAGTCGCGTTAAATCCGAATAGGAATGAGATTAGGATTTAGACAGATTTACTGGATTTATGCCGTAAATCCAAAAATCCTGGATTATTTACTGGATTTATGCCGTAAATCCGTAAATCCTGGATTTACTGATTTGCCGGATTTACAACGGCCCGGATTGAGTTTGGCTGGATTTACGCTAAATCCTACTAAAAACGACGGACAAATCCTATACCAAACACCCCCTAAGAATCAATGGTATAATTTTTTTATTTTATTTTTTTTTTCTGCTGGCAAAGCATGTTCCAAGTTCCAACTAGGCTTTCTTGAGGGGAGAATTTTAAAGTTTCAGAGAATTGAATATGGAAGGTTGTATTGTTCAGTTTCAAAGGCTGTGTCAGAGCAGAAGTAGAAGGCTAGTTTCAGTTATGGCTTTGATACTGTCTGTTCTTTTGGTATTTCAAGCCTTCACACTTCCCTCTAAAAGAATTTATTCAACTCAATATCCTTCTTCAAAGCTACCAAAAGCTTTTGATGGGGGTTCGCTAAACAAAGAATTTTCCTCCCAATCCCAAAGAGTTGGAAAGCCATCTCTTTTCAGTAACTCGCATGGGTCTGTGAACTTTTTGCAGCTTTCTAAGAAACCAGATCTTGATTCAAGTGTCAGTGAAATAGATGGAGAGTTGCAGAACAATGACTCTGATGATGGTAACTGGCTGGATGATGATGAGAACCCTGATACCGAATTTTCCGGCGATCTTCGCAACGAAACCATACTAAAGAAGGATTTGGATAATGGCTTTCTTTTCATGGAAGATGGAAATAGCAAAGGAAATTCTCATTTAGCTGTTGAGAAAACAAGAATTCTAGATAATGAATTGATGAGCATGCAAGGAGTATCAAGTGTGAATTCAAGCAAGAATGCCATACTTTCAGAAGAAACAGAAGCAGATATTGCAACTTTACTAAATCAGCAGGGAAAACAAGAACTTAGTGATAATGAAAGCTTTCTGTCATCTGAGAGTTTCCTGGCCCAAGTAAATGTTAGTGCAAGCAATGTAACTATCTTGAACAAGAAGAATATATTGATGAAGCTTCCTCTATCCATGTCTGAAATGAATAGCCTCTTTTTCAAAAACCGTGCTTCGCGCCGCTCAATGGTATTCACATTCTACTAAAAAAATCTCAACTTTGGATAATGTATGGTTTCTATCTACTAGAACTTTGCATTCAAGTGAACTTTTCTTCAATTGCAGAGACCTAGATGGTCATCAGCACATGACAGGCAGATATTAGCTGCTAAAACAGAAATTGAGAATGTTCACATTTCAGAAAATGATCGGCAACTTTTTGCGCCATTGTACCGAAACATTTCAAAGTTTAAAAGGTTATCTGACCAGTTTTATGGAGATATCCTTGTGATGAATCACTTCCATTGCATGGAGATGCACTAATCTTCAACAGTTTTGGATGAGAGCATTATATTTAACAAACTCTCTCTTGATGCAGAAGCTACAAACTGATGGAAAAGACTCTTAAGATCTACATCTATCAAGAAGGAGAAAAACCCATATTCCATCAGCCAATTCTCAAAGGTATTTATGCAGCTGAAGGATGGTTCATGAAACTGATGGAGAGCAACAAGCACTACCTGGTGAAAGATCCAAGTCAGGCTCATCTCTTCTACATGCCATTCAGCTCTCGTCTCTTACAATTGGCACTTTATGTTCCTGATTCCCATAATCGAACTAACATGAGAAGGCATCTCCAGAACTATTTACACATGATTGCAGCAAAATATCCTTTCTGGAATAGAACAGGCGGCGCTGACCACTTTCTTGTTGCTTGCCATGACTGGGTATTCCAAGGCTTCGTTTGGGACGGCTTTTTTCTTGCTTTCCAAAACAGCTATCTTGTACAAAAATTTCAAATAGAAAGTCGTTTTAAAAAGCAGTACAAAAGCTGTCCGAAACAAAGCCCAAATCTTCATACAAAATGAAATATGCTTCTGAACTTCTTACTTAACAACTATCACTTGTTTCAGGCACTTAATGTAACAAAGATAATGGACCACAGCATTCGTGCCCTCTGTGTTGCTGATATAAGCATAGGATTTGAGCTTGGCAGGGATGTCTGTCTTCCTGAAACCAATGTTCGTTCACTGAAGAATCCTCTCAAAGATCTCGGCGGAAGGCCTTGGAACCGAAGGCCGACTCTCGCTTTCTTCGCCGGAAACTTACATGGCGGCTTTCGCAGTATTCTTCTGAAGCACTGGGAGAACAAGGACCCTGACATGAAGATTTTCGGCCCATCGACATTTCGTGTGGGGAGGAGGAAGATGACTTACATTCAGTACATGAAGAGCAGCAAGTACTGCATCTGCCCCAGGGGATATGAGGTCAACAGCCCAAGAATAGTAGAGTCTATTTTCTTTGAGTGTGTTCCTGTGATCATAGCTGACAATTATGTGCCACCATTCTTTGAGATTTTGAACTGGGAGAAGTTCTCTGTTATTGTTCCAGAGAAGGATTTGCGAAGACTGAAAGAAATACTGCTATCCATCACTGAGTCTGAGTATAGGGAGTTGCAGATGGGGGTAAAGAAGGTGCAGAGGCATTTTTTGTGGAGCAACAAGCCTGTGAAGTATGATTTGTTTCATATGATACTTCATTCTATTTGGTTGAATAGAGTTTACAACATAGAGTCAGATGATTGATTGTTGCTCATGTAATTGAACATCTTTTGCAGAGCTCTGAGCAGTTCTTCTGGCTAGATAGATCAAATATAAATATTGGTATATTTACTGAGAGGGATCAAACAGGGTTTTTTTTTTTTTTCAAGAAAAGCTGGAAAATGTACCAATGTACATTTGTATTGTTTTTAGATGGCAGATGCTTTGTTTGACTTCGATTAATTATTCTATGCAGATGCTGAACGTCATCCAAAGACCAACCAGAATGTGCCACGTCACCCCTTGCTTGGTATTGCTGACATGGCACATTCTGATTGGTCTCCTAATGACGTTCTGCGTCCAGTCTCCACACAGAATAATTTCTCCTGAACTTCAGAAGTATCTAAGTATTCTGACAAAAAAATTTCAAAATTCATTTTGTGATCACTTGAATTTTATTTTAGTAAAGTTATAGTGACAATGAGTGCTTCTATAAGATAAGCTCAATGATACTAAGGATTTCTTGATCTAAGTCCAAATAAGCTTAAATTAAGTACTCAAAGTTTAATTAAAATTTAATGAGATCATTAGGACAAAACTACTCTTGAATTTCGTATGTTTATTAGTCAAAATGAATGTCTGATTGAGATGAATTTTACAGCTTTATGATAACTTGTTTTTGATGTTATTTGGACATTTTGAGTCTCAAAATATTGGATGATTAAAGGGGGTATTCTGATGTATGATTGAAGCTTCATTTCATACAGCTTTTTTATTGTTTTTAAAAATAATTTTTTAATGCAAATATTTTTTGAACTAAAAATTTTTACACTAAAATATTGATTTAGAAAGTAATAAAAAAGCTGTCTTAAACGAAGTTTGAAATGATCCTAGTGCTCTTTCAAAAATAACACTGAGGGGCTATTTGGTAGCAAGATTTAGGCTGAATTTGAGGTTGATTTGAGAGAAATCCAGTCAAACCGCTTAACATGCAAAACTAAATCTCATAGCAAATGAAAGCCGCCGTAGACAGAAAATTCTCCTTTTTGTGCTAAATCCCGGAATTCCGAAATCCTCTTTTTTGTCGAATTTAAAGTTTTATGAGCGCAAGAGGGAGGACGCTCGTTAAATCTGCTCACCGGATTTAATCCGCTCTATACCAAACAATTTTCAGTATTTAGGCCTCCTAGGATTTTTGAAATTCAGATTTAGAGGATTTACGAAATCCTACTTAAATCAAATCCTAAGTGCTATCAAACAGCCCAAAATATCGATTTTAAAAAATGAAATATATTTTATCCCATAACATTTTTTTTAGATATAGATATTAAATTATTATTTAATTTAATATGAAATTTAGATCATCACGGGGAATTTCTTAAATATAAAAACAATATAATGCCCTCCTTAAACCCTCATTTCTCCGTACGAAAATCCTATCCAACGAATTCGCAGAGTCAGAGTGAGAGCGATAGCTACCCGTCCATAAGAAAAATGATGTTGCGGAACGCTACAATGGCAATGGATTCTGCGCATTCTCTTCTTTTGAACGCTGAATAAAATTTTCAATTATTTTACGTTAGATTTGTACATTTCTAAATTAACTATACATTCTCTATGGTTGGCACTGCTACTAATCAGAGCCCTGTATTGATTACCCATATTCACACCCAGCTATGTACCCATTCATACCCAATGGGTATAGGTGGATATGGGTATGCCCATGACCTTGTGGGTGGATATTGATGGGTACTAAACATCGAGGGGCTAAATCGCTTTTTATTGCTAATTATTGTATATCTTATATTACTGTAATCCTCACTATGTAGTGTGCCGCACTTAACCACGCTACGACTATGATAAATTCTTATATGCAGTTTGAAAGTTTGCAATCAAAGCAAAGGAAAACAAGCCTCAAGGCCATCAGTCGGTGGCAGGCTGTGTTCAAAAAGCATGAAAAGTTGGTAGGTATGGGTGGACCCGTCATCTCGAAAGTCACCATGGGTGGGCGTGCATGGGTATTGGGTACCCAACCAGGACCTCAATGTAAGGCTTTGCTACTAACTACTGCTTGCTGTTTTCAGCAATTGCAGCTAGTAATTGTCACCACTATCATCACGATTGTTATGAGTTTTACATTGCATTTATTTTACTTTAAATTAAATAAAAAAAATAAAAACATGTATTTATTTTACATTAATTCAATATATTTAATATACATTTTATTTCCAATAAATTGCACTTAAGTTTACTTAAAAAATTAATCACTTGTTTTTATTTCATTACATTTTATCAACTTTTAAAGACATTTAAGAGAGACAAAATAACTACAATGTGTATAATTAAAAAAAGTTAAGAATCAATTTTTATGGAGCTTTGTGAACACAATTCACATTTTTCAATTGAGTAAATGCCATAATGACCTTTACATTTTAATAAAATAAAGACAAATGAAACTTCTTCCTATGCCTTCATTATGAGGAGAAATTATTCTTTGCATTCACCAGATCATTTAGAGGTAAATCAGAGCGTGCCATGTCACCCGGCGCACATCGATACATAACACTGATACACAGCAAAAAAATGATGTGGCACTCTCTGATTTCCCTCCAGACGTCATCTGGTGAACGGACAGAATAAATTTTCTTCTAGGAGGCCTTAGTCAAATTTGTTAGTCTTATCACACGCATCTCCCATCACTACGTGTCTTTTGTTGCCTCCCCTTAGTAATTGCTCATCTTTTAATACATCAAAATCAAGAGTTCTATCATACAAAAAATAATAATGTAATCCCCGTCTAAACTCCTTATGCCTTGTTAGAGAAAATATTATTCACTTTGATACATCTTAGTTTGGTATTAGCCTATATAGAACTAATTCTACATTGTAAAATTATGGAGTGAAAAAAAAATTGTTTTTTTGAAAGTTTATACATATTCATATAAGTTTTTTTTTTTCATATTTAACATTTAAGTAAAATAAAAAAAATAATTTATATATTTATACATATCAAATTATTAAGAAATTAATAAATAAAAACAGGGTTATAATTTTTTTTATATTATCATAAAAAAATAATTTATATATTTATACATATCAAATTATTAAGAAATTAATAAATAAAAACAGGGTTATAAATTTTTTTTATATTATCATAAAAAAATAATTGAGCATTGGTAATATAAACAACTAATAAATTGAAGAACCAACACAAACTATGTCATAAATGCCTAAGTTTTATTTAATTTTTTATAATAATAAGAAAATAATAAAGAGAAATATGCCTTTGTTCTATTTTTCTTAAGTGAAATCAGACAATCAGAATACACTTAGGATAAGATTTTATGGGCTGGGCCTTCGTGGGCTTTTCACAACGAGGACAAATTCGTAATCTCGCTACATTCACCTGACCTCACCGCTATATATTCTCGATTAGGGTTTTCAATCGCTCCGGCTAGGAGAAGCAGCGAGCAGCGAGGCGCCGTCGAAGGTAGAAAACTCAAAGATGGTGAAGTTTCTGAAGCCTGGCAAGGCCGTAATTCTTCTCAACGGTCGATTCGCCGGCCGCAAGGCGGTTATCATCCGGTCCTTTGACGATGGCACACGCGATCGCCCTTACGGCCACTGCCTCGTCGCCGGAATCGCCAAATACCCCAAGAAAGTCATCCGAAAAGACTCCGCGAAGAAGACGGCGAAGAAATCGAGGGTTAAGGCCTTCCTCAAGGTTGTCAATTACACCCATATCATGCCAACCCGATACACCCTCGACGTCGATCTGAAGGACATCGTCACCCTTGACTCTCTTCATTCTCGGGACAAGAAGGTCACGGCCTGTAAGGAGACCAAGGCGCGGTTGGAGGAGCGCTTCAAGACAGGGAAGAACAGGTGGTTCTTCACCAAGCTGAGGTTCTAGGTAAAATGGAAGAGTCTTTAATGCTAGGGATTTGCTCTTGTAGTAATCCATCGGTACGCTTTTCGATTTTGTTTTTTTGTGTCAGTGTTATGGATCTGGTGCTGGTTGCCTTACATGATTTTATATTTTCTGTTCCGAATTCTTAATGATGTTGTGAGACAAATACTCTATGTTGTTTAATTTAGCTGTTGTTTAAATGCATTGAATGTTTCCTTACATTGGATGTTTTGTTTCATCGAGCTTTCTTTGAGCTTTGATTGTCATTTCTATACTTTATATGATTCGTTGAATATATCATCATTATTGCTGGAGGAAATACATGTCTCAATCGTTATGCTTATTAATCATAATGTCAGACTACTGAAGGAAAGTTCCATGTTTCATGCAGCTTATGCAATATAAGTTTATTTAAATCATGCTATTTTTGCAGTTTTCTGTAGATTAGGGCATCTCCAACCAAAAAACCCTTTTTCCACTCCAAAAATCCAGTCATTCTTCTCCAATCGAACGCCATTTATTCTTCTTGTGCGCTTGCAATCATCTTTGGTGCGTTTTTCTCTTTCGCGCGCTTCTTTAGCAAATCCCGCAACAAATTTTTGTGGCGTCAGTGAATAGCATCGCACTGTTCACCTACCGGAATTTGGTGTGCGATTTGGAGTTCGAATGGAGCAAATAACGGATGGCATACAGTGGTATGGAGTTTGGTTGGAGATGGTCTTAGGGAAAAAATGCAACTTGTGTAGTAACCATCTGTGATTGAAGGTATTTCTTTACAATAAACTTCATGCCTAATATATAAGATTTCCTGGTTATATATAGTTTTATTGCAGTTCCATGTTTAAATTTAAATATAAGGTCATCAATCATAATGCATATTAGTTGATTTCATTGAAATCAACTAGCATAATAGAATAGCTGTAGTTAATTGCTTGAAATTGATCATAATCTGATTGGACCTCGATGGACGAAAAGTTCTTGATTATATGGATTCATTTAAATGGGTTTTCTTTAAGTAATGCCTGTTTATTTTGTTTTTAATCATGCTGCTATGCTTGAGAAAGCAAGTACTTGAAAGTAATATGGGTGGAAGGATTTGGAAAGTTATTTACAACCACCATTATCATTGCTCTCACCTCAACTACCATGAATCTATTTTATGAATTCTCATTTGCAGTTCATTCCTTTTGAATGTTATCACTATTAATGTTATTTTGTGCGTCTTTCGCACAACTTATAGCCCTTAAGTATTTGTTCCACCATTTTCTTTCTTTCTAATTCTTTTATTTTTTTCCTTAACATCAATAGGCGTTAGGATTACTATCTATTTAATTTAATTATTTCTCATTTTATGCTTCTTAATTTTATCATACATTCATCTTAACCTTCTCATTTTTTCCACTCTTCTTAGTTATTGATGGTTGTTTAGCACTCAAATCCATATAACATAGTTGATCTGATTATAACTTTATAAATCTGGCTTAAGTTATCCTATCATATAACTCTCCTATACACTTTTTGGTTTAATCACTAAGCCTCTTAACGTTAGAAGTTCTATCCTCTTTTATATATATTCTTCTACAACATGCATATAAGATACTTAAAAATTATCACATTTAGGTATAATTATTCTTCTAACAATTTTGAATAATAATTATGTTTCATTATTATGAAAATTGTATGTTACAAACAAGGGCAGAACTGTGTAGTGTTGAGGGAGCGCAATTGCCAACCAACCTTTTTTTCACACAATTTGCGCTCCAAAAATCAGAGTCTCTTGGCCTCCCGTTATTTTCATCCAATTATGTTGAACTTTTCTAGCACTAACAAACAAGTCTGTGAAAAAACGATGATATGCAAAATAAATTATTTTTGCACCCTTATATTTATATTTTTATTTTTACAAGTTTGTCATTTGCCCTCTTTGAGAACTAGGCTGATTCAGCTTTTACAAACTCATTTTTTTTGCTCTGCTAACTTGAAGCTTCATATCCATTAAAATATTTTTATTCATTGTTTTCATTTTTCATTTTTTTTCCGACCATAGTTTACAAGTATTAGAACTATCTTATTTACAAATAGCATGCAGCAAGGCACCCTACTTTGAATATTTCATATTTGCTCCATAATCCATATACAAATATGAACTCAATTTTGTTCCCTGAGCTAGCTTAAATCGGGTTATGAACTCTTTGTTCACTCCACAACCGTTTATAATGATATCGAACTATTTTTGAAGCTTTTTGGCTGCTTCCTAAAGTAGTTTTTTAGTATAATTTTTTTTAAAAAAAAATTTAATAGAAAATTATTTAAAGAAATAATAAAAAAGTCATCTCAAACGAAGCCTCAATCACTCGTTATAGCATTTGATCGTATACTTTCATTCATTCATTCTCAATGGATATTAACATCGCCTGTTTGGATCAATATTTGATTTTGTTCATAATGTTCTCCTAAAGTGTTTCTTCATTTATTATCATATTTATTAATTTTTTAGAATATTTTTATATCTTTTTTGTGGTAATTAACTTGAATAGAGGCCATTTTTTTCTAACTTTTAATATAGATAACTTTATTAAATGTTGAATGTGACTTCCTTTGCCTTGGAAATCATATAAATCTAATTTTAGACTTTCTCTATATTTTATAAATCATTAGAAGTTGCTGTTTTTGCTTTAGTTTCTAGCATTTTAATGCAGTACCAGACATTGATGTAAATCCAGCAATTTTTTGTTAGGACAATTCTTTTTTAATTGTTTTTTTTTTTATACTTTAAGAAATGTATTTATTATTATTAATCTATGTTGTGTGATCAAAAAGATTTCTTTATTTCTTAAAATAAAGTTCGATTTTAATTTGGTAGTGCTATTTTTATATTGGAAATGATGGAGATAAAGAATTTATGTAGTTGATCTCATGTTGTTATATTAACTTTTTTTTACAAATTTTTAAAATGAATTTGCTATCATAAGATCACTATAAAATCAAATGGAAGTTGATCATATTCCTATCTCGTTTTTAATGAATTCTCTAATAATATTTGCTTATTTTAGTCAAACACTAATAATTATCTTCTTCTCTCAAGTATATAGTGTTGTCAATAAATGGAGAAATTATTACGTGCCAAGTTTGTACTGGAAGAGTCGTTTGAATTTGTTAAGTATTTATTGAATAAATATTTAGTAAATTTGGATGGTTCTTATTGTCCGAATTCAGCACGTAATAATTTTTCTAATAAATAACACGAGCCTTGAAAATTTTGAATTTTGGTTGATCTAATTAATTTTTGGGTAAGGATTGGTTGATTTGCAATTGATCTTATTAGAACAACATGATAAAACATCTCATGCTTAAATTCTTTGTTCTGAATTATGTATCGAACTGCTGTTATCTTTTCTTATAAATGGACATGTACACTTATGTACCTACATATCACTTCTCTTAATAAAGTTTTCTTACTAGCTTTTCTTCTTATTATACACTCCTGTATCTCTGGCATGACTTTCTTGAACACCTTGCGTTTCTGCATGGTATCAGACAAGACTCTATGATCCAGGGCTCCGATGGCGAGCTCATCTACCTCTCAGATCGGCGAACAGACGGAGACCACGACCTCAACAACTCTGATTATCTCTTCGTCTCTCAAGTTCGTTCTCTCTAATCTCAAAAACATCGTTCGAAACCCTCTCTCCCAACAATTACCTGTTATTGCGCTCTTAGATATCCAAGATCTGCCAATCAAACGGCTTTGAATCGTTTCTTGATGCAAAATCTTCCATCCCTGATAAATTTCTTACCCAAACTGACAGCACTAACGTTTCCAACTCAAGCTACGCACAATGGCTGCTCATTGATCAAAATCTTGCGGCAGCCATATGCGCCACCATACCTGCTTTGATTATTCCCTATGTTATAAATCTTGAATCCACATCGGCAATCTGGCAAACCCTTGAAATCAGATTTCAGTGTTCCAATAGATCCAAAGTTTATTCAACTTAAAAATTAGCTTCACCACATCTCGCTCAAGAATTCTACCATGATCCAATATCTAAATGAAGTTAAATCTCTTGTGGATCAAATCGTTGTTGCCAGATCGCATATTGTCTATGAAGACATAATTCTTCACATTCTTAATGGTCTTCATCTGGTCTAGCAATCCTTCAAGACATCCATAAGAACCATGGTTCACCCACTCAGTCTTGATCAACTTTACTCACTTCTTATAAGTGAAGAAATCCATATAGCCTTCGATACAGCTCCGATAGACGACCCTCACACGGCTCTATTTGTAAATCATGGGCGCGGTCGCAAGAACATAACCAGATCCTATGCTCCCAACACCTACAACAAAGATTCATCATCCACTGCTCCAACCATATGTCAAAATTGCTTAAAGAAAGGGCACACGATCACAGATTGCTGGCATAGGTTGAACACGTATTACGTGCCAAGATTCGCAAAAGCTCCGTCCAAAGCTCTTGTCGCTAACTCCTCTTTGGCGTATACAGATTTGTATCTCGATTCGGGCGCATCGTCTCATATTTCAAAATCGTTGGACAATCTCTCTATTTCTGCCCCGTACAATGGGACTGACGGTATTACCATCGGCGACGGGAGTTCGGTTAGCATAGCAAATTCCAACAAGGGATTTCTAGCGACTCCCTCTCGTAAGCTTAATCTTTCTCAAATTTTTCATACACCTGCTCTTCACTACAATTTATTATCCATTTCTCAACTAACCAAGGACAATAATATTTCTATAACATTTGATCCCTCTGGTTTCTTGTTCAAGGATCTGATGAATCACCAAGTCATTTTTCGTGGACCATGCTGTGACGGTCTGTATCCTCTTCAGGCGCCTGCATCTTCCTCTCCTCAACAAGCGCTCCGAGCTTCTACCAAGCGTCTTATCCCGTGGCATGATAGACTGGGTCATCCCAATCAAAGAACTCTTGCTTGCATTGCTTCTTGTAATTCGCATCTTCATATAGATACGCATAATTTTTCTTGCCATTCATGTAATGAATCCAAGAGTAACAAACTTGTGTTCGAATCATCTTCTAATAGAAAACACTCCATTCTTGCTTTAATCCATTCTGACGTGTTCGAATCATCTTCGTCCATGATTACTCGCGATTTACCTGCCTGTTCCCTATGCGCCAAAAATCGGAAGTTGTTAGCATCTTTGTTAATTTTAAAATGAATATTGAGACATCGACTTCCCATAAAATCAAAGGCCTTGACATCGATGGTAGCGGTGAATACTCAAGCATCTCAATCACTCAATTTCTTAAACAACATGTGATCTCTCACCAGATATCGTGTACGTATACGCCCGAACAAAATGGTGTCGCCGAAAGAAAACATCGGCACATCATTGAAACTACCAGGACCCTTCTCAATACGCATCTGTTCCTTACACATACTGGCCTGACTCGGTACTTACCTCAACTTATCTCATCAACAGAATGACGTCCTTCAATACTAATAATCTATCCCCGTTAGAACTCTTTCACAACATCAAACCTGACTACGGTCACCTTCGGATGTTCGGCTGAAATTGATGTGATTTTAATTTGAGTTCATATCAAATGAGTTAATTTTTAATTAAATTAGTTGTTTTTAGCTTAAGTGGGTGATGTTTAGGTCAAATGGGTTGCACTGATCTAAAAAACATTGTATAGTATATATAATAAAATGGATAGGGTGATTTCAGATTAGTTGGGTTAGGGTCAAAAATATTTGGGTTAGGCCGGCTTTATATTAAAAATGAACCTGAATTGATGCTAAAAAAAAAAATGTTTTGTTTTCATGTATAAGCTGTAGGACCATTTTTTATAGAGGTAAATTACCTACGGAGTTCAGACTCAGAGAATTGTTCAATTTTGGATTATGAAAAATAAATGTGCAGTAATGAATAGTAAAAATGCAATGGTGAACAGTACATGTGCTTTTATTGTTCACAGTCATAAATCCAAATGATTTTCTGTATCTGAACTTCTCGCACATAATAATCTCTCCATTTCCTACTAAATTCATTTGAGACATTTCTTGTAAGGTTTGTATCCAATGCCTGAAATATTTTGCACAATTGGTTATTTTAAATTTTCATGAACTCGAATATAAACATTTTGGCGGATTGGATTAGAATGATGGACGAATAATAATAATAATAAGTAAAATATTATTAATGATGGATGGAAAAACAAACAGAAAATACATTTGCTGATAAGATATAATAAAAGATATACATTTATTCATATTTAGTCAAGATTTTTAAAGTTTTATTAATTATTAGTATAACAATAAATGACACATTTTGAACTTACAATGGTATGAATGATTTTCCATTTTATTATTTATTATTTAAGTTTTTTGTCTAATATCAAGTAAAATGTTAAATTATGTATTATTTTTTAAAAGAACTAAAAGTATATATATTTGAATCAATTAAAATATATTTACATGTACATCACATATATAAATTTTGAATTTAATATTTCAAAATTTACTTTCAAATCTCTCAAACTGTTTTTATAAAGTTCTTCACCAAAACTTTTATCTAGATTGCTTAAAGTTTTAATAGGTTTTAAATTTTTAATGCTTATTTATTTGATTATATATTAATATGCATATTTCTATCCAAGAATGAAAATAGAGATCTCATTCTACAGTAAGCCTATAAATAAAAGAACTCATTTTTAATATTTTGTTACTGTTTAGCTTAATAATTAGCTCCAACTCTATTAACTTTTATCAATTCATTTATTGGAAGAGTCAAAAAATATGAACCCCTTCCATTCAGCTAGATATTATTTTTAATTAGATTTTATGCAAAAAAAGCTAACAATAATCTCCTAATTGTTCATATGTGGTCAATATAGTCCTAAAGTATCATATATCTCCAATTTAATCTCTCTGTCTATACAAAATTAATTCAAATAATCCTCAATTAGAAATTGATGAAAATTTTGATATAAAATTGATACCAATTTAGTCCCTCAACTATACAAAACTGACCCACTTTTACTCTACGGGATCATTTGAGATCAATTTTGATTGATCGCAAGTTAAAATTGGAGAAATATAATACTTTAAGATTGAATTGGCCATACTATTTTATATATTTCCCTTTTAATACTAAAGCAAACTTAAAAAGCATATCAGTGCCAAACATGTTTTCAAGTTATAGCCACTAACCATATTAAGTGTTAAATCTGCAAGAAATGGTTAAACTCACCAAAGAAAATCATAACAGAACTGTTCGAAAAAAAAAGCTTTACAATGTTATAATTCTACTGTTCATGCTGTCACTAATCTAATCTAACTATTTGCCATTTCATCTCTTAATTATGATAATATATTATACAACTCACTACAAGCGTAAGTTTTTTAGACTTTGTTTGGGATAGCTTTCTTACTGTTTTTTAAAACAGTTTTTTAGCACAAAATTGTACTAGAAAGCTGCTTTATGAAGTAGTAAAAAAGCCAAACGAACCCTAAATCTCTGTATAAAACAATACCTCATTCTGAGCTCATGTTCATCGACGATAATCAGAAAACTTGTCCCAGCTCGTTTCAATCCGGTCTGCTAAAGAGCTGATATCCAGTTGTTTCTGCTCAGTAGATATTAATTCACAAAAAGAAAGGCTCAAGAGAGAATCATAATCCAAAAAACCATTATGTTTCCATGAGAAGATCACCTAAACCTGGTGGAGATAATGGAGGAACTGCACCATCTTCGTTGCTTCCAGTTTCCAATACTTTCCGTGCCGTCGCCTTTGATGATTCCTGAGAAGTGCTTTGTTGAAGGAGATCATCCTTAAGTGGATTTTGTCCAGCAACAGAACTGTTTTGAAGATTCTCCATGGATGATAATAATTTCTGCTTGGATTGAGAACTTGCAGAAGCAATCGTTGCAGTGAAAATGCCGGAATCTCTCAAACCTCGAATGATGCTCTGAGGATAATAAGCAGTGAGGAGATTTTTTTTTTTTTTTGAGATAATCAATGAATTTCTTGCAATTGGAGAAAGAATTTTTGCTAAATTTACCATGGGTGCATATATACGGGTCAGAATGCCCTTCCTGAGGAGTTTCAGATTTAGTTGCTTGTCATCCCATACAACATGTTCATGGAACCTGGATAGATGGCAGAAATGAAATATCCATCTAAAGTGCAAGCAGAAATCACTCAGACTTCGTTTGGGACGGCTTTCTTACTACTTCATAAAGCATATTTTTAGCATAAAAATTAAAATTTTTATGCTAAAAAGCTGCTTTAAGAAGCAGAAAAAAAGTCAACCAAAAGGAAGCCTCAATTAACACTCAAATGTACGTTTCAAATTTCTTTGGTTTCTCTGCTTTCTCTTACTAATATAATTCAAACGAAAAAAATTTAACTCCTTTGGTTTTGCCGGTTTAACAATTTTCAACTATTCTAACTAGCTTTTGCAAAGTTACAGAGTAGATAATGATTGGTCATTTTAGTAGAAAATTAGTAAGTTTACCATCGCAACATTTCTTCCTTGGAGGCTGTTGAAGCAATCATGAAAGCCTGCATTAAAATTTCATGGATTAGTTTAGTTAGACAAGACAATCTTTAACATCTAATAAAATAGGAAATTTAATCATGTTAATTATATTTACTGTAATAAACCAAATACAAAAATCTTGGGGGTATAATAGATAGTACAGGTATTGATACCCTATACTTATTCTCTTTAGCAAGCAAATTCAAATCACTGATGAAACAGATATAATAGGAGAACAGGATAGGATGACCAGGATATCTAAGAGCCTAATGAAGCACTCTTAACTTCTAAGTTGCAAAAACACTAGCTTGAACCACAGGTACCTTAGTTCACGAGCTAGTATAATAAGAAAAATTAAATTCATGGAAGAAGCTTGAATTTCAGCTAGAAATTCTAGAACGGAACCCCCTTTAGCTCGAATTTTTATTGCGTCCTCCCACCTAACGTAGAGATACGTCCTCCCAGAGCTAAATTCGCGCTAAAAAACGAGAAATACCGAGCAAATACCGAGCAATACCAAACAATAACGAGGAATATTATCAAGTGAAGACCAATACCGAGTTATACCGAGCTATACCGAGCAATACAAAAAAATACCTAGTTTTTCCTAAAAAGAACTCGGTATTATTTTGTATTGCTCGGTACTGCTCGGTACAGCTCGGTATTGGTCTTCACATGATGATATTCATCGTTATTATCAAATAATACCTAGCAATACCGAGCAGAAACCGAGTTTTTTTGCGGTGGGAGGAAGCAATAAAAATTCCTTTAGCTCAGGAGGTAATTGCCCCCCCTAAAAAAATTCTTTATTATCTGATTCTTAGGTAATTTGTCATTCTCCATATATTTTTTTGGCCTTATTACAAGAATTTTTAGACAATTGCCCCTCCCTATAAGTTTTAAAATACTATGATCTTTAGGCACTTCCCTTGAAAACCCCCGCAGAAGCGCTAACCCTTAACCCCGCGACCTGACTGGACAGGTCAAACCACGCCAGGGAGCTTGCCCCCTTGGACCCCCGACATATCTACGAAGCGTATGGTGATAAAGGATATGAACAAATAGGGGTCAAACCAAATTCGAGGCAATACCAACAATTACTTATAAGTTTGCCCCCCTGAAAATTAAGGTTGATTCCACCCCTGACTATAATAAGTAATTAGAAGGTTGTTTAATGTACAAAACTGAAGTGTTGCAACATGTTCATATCAGAGATTTTTTATGAGATGACCAATTCTTGCATTCTAATAAATTATTATCAAGTACCCGCAATCGCAACTAGCACCGCAATGGCAGGCCAATTCTAATCCCGCTTTTACACGACCAAGCACTAGTGTTCAAAGATTCACACCAGTCACTCGTCAACAATGATGGAACTTTCATGGCTGATTAACTACATGTATCACAACACAATAGTTTACTTGCTAACAGTGCTCACAACACAATAGTGAACTTTACTTGCTATCAGTACAAATCATGATGTCTCAGGCCTTGATAAATGTGTCCAGTTTAATAATCTTTAATGGAATGCATGCCATCAGCAAAGCCCGGTGATTGTTGTGATCAAACTTCATTTGCAACATGAAGTCAAATGGCTCTTGGGCCCGCATTCCCTGGTCCCTCAGTAACTTTTCCCTTCACTTAGTACATTTTCATTTGATTTTGGTATTAGCGCTTTTTACAGCTTGAATATATAGCCTAAAGACGAGATGTTGAAATAACTGACCCATGGCACAACATGAAAATGCCTAACATGTTTCATATTCATGTGAACGCTTAAATGGCTTAATTTCATGTCACAAACAGATGCACTTGAGATGATTCAAAAATGCTAAGATTGCTACCCCCTCAATCATGTGCACCCTTAAAGGAATTGTGATTTTTTATTTTCAGGATCAACCCTATCATAGCCGACTTTGGTCTGTTTGTAAGGGTAATATGGTTGAACCACTGACTAAATTTAACTGTTTTCCTCTATGATGTACAAACACGAACGTGGCAATACGGACACGACACGACATGGACGGGATACATCAATTATTGGAAATAAAGAACATGAGCACGGGTTGGACACGGTATTACAATTTGTATATTTTAAAATAGTGAATAAAAATTGAGTAAGTTTAATATTTAAAATAATTTAGAAATAATAAGTTGTTTAAATAGAATTTATTCTTTAAATGATTAATATTAGGAGGTCGAGAGTCGGACGTCGATGTCGTGTACTAGGCATCGAGAGAGGAGACAATAATTTTGTCGAGAGTAAGGCACCGATGTTATGCAATAAGTATCGAGCGTCAATGTCAAGAGGGCGTTTGTTATCAATGTTGAGAGGGCGTTGGTCATCGATATTAAGACAACGTTGGACTAAAATGAGTTGTCAAACTGTGGGTGTAGAAATTGCTAGTGCCGAGCATCAATGCCAATATACTGTCAGATGTAGACAACGTTGGACTAAAATGAGTTGTCAAATTGTGGGTGTAGAAATTGCTAGTGCCGAGCATCAATGCCAATATTCTGTCAGATGTTGATGTTGATATGATTTTGAAATGTTAATATTGCAACGAAGTCAGACGTTAATGTTGAGATGACATCGAGTATTGTGAAACTAAAATTACGACCCGCCAAAAAGAAATGAAAATGAGAATATTTGATGAATAGAGTATTGAGTGCGGGTGCTTGATTTGATGTTGTGGATAGAAAATAAGAAATTTAATGTTTATATTTAAATAAATAAAATTTTTAAATATAATAAATTATATTTAAAAAAATCATAAAATATATAAAACACGCATGTGGGACACGTATGTCCAATTTGTATTTAATATATTTTTTTTAAGTTTTCCTTTTCTTTTAAAATGGTGGAATCGTAAGCAAACCACTTAACGACTTCTAGTCTTAAGTGCTACCACCTTGTTGACTTTAGTGCATTATGTCCAACTATTTTTTATAAAAAACTTACTGCCACAACCTGTTCCATGGTTATTATTATTATTATTATTATTATTTTGACATTTGCAATGGCATATTTGAGGATATAACCACCGAGTGAGACATGTCCATTACCACCACCAGCAGTGCTCTCACAACTATGCCCAGAAACACCATAATCATGAATCAATAGGTATAACACAGAAGAGAATGGAAAATAACTGCAATGAACAGAATATATCTGCAACAAAAGAAATCAGTACAAGAACTAAAACTGCTGTTTTAATTGGGGTAATTAATTAGCAAATACAAAAGCGGGTATGAGTAGGCATTTTTTAAGAGTGCAGCTGATTTGAATTAATAAAAAAAATTAAGAAAATATTGTCTGCATTTATTGGCAACGATGCAGTAAATCAAAGGAAAAGTTGATGCATTCTAGAGCCAATAAATCTATTATAGTAAATCAGATTAGAGAGCACTCACAGTTCTATCAAATTCTAGCATAAAGCACCTTTTCGAGTCATCTTTTGTTGGCTTGCAACCGCAGCGGTTGCGCCTTGATGTCAAATCTGAAAACTTTGAATATGTGTAATGTAGAACGGCAGCCTCCTCTAATTTGATCTCGCTGAAGGATCATCAAAAGAGGGATGTCATTTCAGAAACCAAAAGCAACTTTAGGTATTTGTTAAAGTTAACTTTCATCCTCTCACTATTTGGTCTTAATTGCAGGGTCATAAAACATTTACAATGTCAGCCAACACATTTTGTATAATAGATTAATAGTTTCTCACTCTAAATTAGATGCTTTTGTTTATCCAAAATTAGAGCTAATTAGTTCCACGCTGATTAACTAATGGGGTAATTAAACGAACTAAAACCTTGATTCACCAAGATTAGGCTCAATTAACCTTGTCAAATTAATTAAAAGCCTAATTAATACAATTGAGGCTTTGATAGCAAAATTTGAGTTCAAGATTGGCTTTCCGAAGACAGTTAAACTAATTAAGTCTCCATTAACCTACTTAAGATCCTAAGGTTAGGTTTGATTGACCTTTCAAAAACAACCTTAGTTAATTTAATAATGATTTTAGACCACATAAAATAGGCTCACTTAATAAGTCAGAGACTTAATTAATTTAATTAAAACCATAACATCTAATCAAGCTTAACACTTGCTAATAATCTGAAACTCAATAGGCTAAGTTGGTGCCCTAAATAAATGTCTCTGTTCAGCTACGAACTCTATTATTAATCCATGGATTTATATAGGACTTAAACCACTTGAAATGATATGAAAATACACTAAAAGTAAACCTAAAACCCTTAACACGTTGAATAAAAGATCAAAAAACCACCCAATAACCGTTTCATTTTCTTCCTCTTCAAAAACCGCAGCCCACATGCCACTTATGCACCGTGATCATGCATCTCTTCTCCCTTTTCTCACTACAGGCCTACACCCACTTGCTTGCCATTTGTTTCTCCGGATCTACCTCTTTCAATTCCATTATTGATGCCCACTCTCTCGTGCTTGCAACCCCTACCAATACCTCCCTCTCTTGTTCATCTTTAGATATCCTACCTTCTTCAATCAACGACACAATTTCCCATGTGTCCAATGTTACTCAATTTTTTCAATCTCGTGTCCCACCTTCTTCCTATGTGAATCCTAGTCATGCTTTGCTCCCTTCCGCTCACCTCATGATCTAGCTCTTGTCCTCAATTTCCCTCACCTCTTGCATCCCATGAAACCCTTTAACATGATCTCGCTCTCCCACTCATTATTTGCACTGCAATGCTCACCCTCATCTTCATCCTCTACTCCCTCTCTAGCAGGAACTATAGCTATTACCCAATCCTTGACCACACACATTGCTTGAAGCCTTCTTTCCTTGCCGCTTGCATCGCTTACTGACTCAACCCTTTTGCTCGTTCAACAAGCCTAAATGTGGAATGTCTAGCTCTCGACCTCAAATTCCCTCATCATAGCATCTTTCTTACACCTTGATTTGGGGTATCAATAATGACCCAACTCAAAAAATTTGGGTTCGGGTTGACCTAATTAATTTTGTGTTGGGATTGGGTTGAAAATCCTAACCTAACTAATTTTCAGGTCAATTTCGGGTTGACCCTAAAATATGAAATTATCTCGAAATGACCCAATTATCATTTGAGTTTGGGTTAAATGAGTCATGCTTGGGCTAAACAGGTCATTTTTTGAGTTAGATGGATCTTATTTGGGTTAAACATGTCCTGTTGATCTAAAAAAATGCAAGTTTATATGATAAACGAGTCAAACGTGTCGGACTCGAGTTAGTTATCTTAGATTGAGTCGATGCGAGCCAAAACATTTTGACCCGTATTATAAGCGAGTCGGATTTGAATTAGGGGTGTCAGTAAACGACCAAACCATAAAAAATCCGTGTTCAAATTGACCCGCGAATCCGATTTTGACTTGAACATGGCCCATTTAATTTTTTTTGCAGGTCGGGTTCGGTTCATCTGGGTAGCCAACGATTTAGGTTTGAGTCCAAATTTCTAACCCGTTTATTAAACAAGTTGGATTCATGTCAAGTTGATTCAAATCGGGTCAATTTTGGGTCAAACCCATACCCATTAACCTATTTTAACACCTCTAGTTGGGGTCAAGCTTATTTAGGTTGGGTCAAATTAAGACATACTCAAGCCTAACCAGTCAACCTAAATCAACACCCATTTCCTCGATCTCTCTCCCACTCACTCTTTGCGCTACAACACTCAACCCTTACCATCAACCTCTACTTCATCTCTAGCATAAGTTATTATTCGGCTGCAATCCTCAAACACACACATCACTACCACCTTTTCGCTCTCATTTACTTATTGACTCATCCCTTTTGCCTATTCAACAAGCCTAAAGGCGGAACTAACATTCTCGGCTCAAAAAAAACTACGAGTCGAGCTTCTTTGCAATTTTAATAAGCCCCATTAGTTGAGTTGGCCCACATCTAACATGGTTCAACAAGTCCAAAGGCTGAACAGACATCCTTAAATTACAATTCTACCAGTCGATCTCTGCATCAATTTGAGAAACACCAATATCTAAGTTGACATAAATGTGCTAGATTAATAATTCAAAAAAATCAAATCAAAACCCACACATATTTGATTGAATTATCTAAGGATAAAGCTAATGACACATAATATCCACATGCTAGTCTAGAGTTAAGATTTGCTACAAGGGGTGCAATGGAAGGACCCTAGTCGGCGGGCGACGGTGATCAGAGGGATCGTAGTCGAGCGATAGTGGTCGGAGGTACCGTAGTTGGTGGGCGATGGAGATCTGAGGGATCGTAGTCGGCGGACAACAAAGGTTGGAGAGGTCGTAGTCGGCGGGCATTAGATTATTTATAATTAAAAAATTATAAAAAATAATTTTTTATAGTACATTTATAAATAAATAAATAAATAAAATAGATAAAAATCAAATATTATTAACTAAAAAAAAATATTATTCACATTATAAAAAAATAATTAAATAAATCTATTTAAAAATATGTAGTGCATTTGTAGTGAAAATAAAACTTTAACTTAACTACTTAGTCTAACATCACTTTGTAACTTTGTCTTAGTATAGTTTATATAGTATTTTTGGTGTCCAATGCATGTATTAGGAACTCACATAGGATGATGGGGCCATGAGAAAATTTATGGTCGATACTTGTTTGGCAAATAATTATTATAATAATTTTATGCTCATTATAAAATTAAAATATGATAAATTATTAACTTTAATATTTTATTTAATATTTCATGCTAAATTTATTAAATTATTTAAATGGAATAGCAATTGAACTGACCAGTTCTAAGAAATCAAGATTTATTTGACAACTCACTAGTTGAACCAACAATTCTGACCTGCTCTTACTGATTTGATGCAAGGGTGGTTTTGAAGGTGGATCGCACTAGTCATATGACAAATCCACAGTCAAACTGGTCAGTCTAATCTGATTTTCAAAATCTTGTCAAGAACTACATGTTCATGTAAATCACCATGGATAATTAATCCATTTCAAACAAATGTTGTAGTAGTCCAACTATTAATATTTCAACTTCATTCATTCTAATAATAATATATAACATTCCCTACTATCTTTAAATTTACAACTTTCTAATTATTATATCTACACGGTGGGCCTTAAATCACTAATGTAATTAATTAGTGGATGGGGGTACTTTTCTTCGATAATTAGAAGAGTAAGGCTTAATTTGAGTAAGGGGATAAAATTTATAGAGTCAAGACAGTAGGCCAATTCTTCATGCAATCCATTTAGAACTAGAAAATTAATCTTCTACCTAGTGTTCTTCCTCTCCAGAACGCCATATCCAATAAACTTGTACTTAATTTGTAGGTAAGGATATTTGCTTTAATTATGGAGGGTTTGGTAAGGTATGGGGAGGATTTGGTAGGTCTATTTTGTTCTGGAAGTGATGTTAGTAAATTTTGACCAAAAAAGAAAAAGACCAAGATTGAAAAATTAGGTGTGGTTTTCTATGGATAAGGTGGAATTCAAATTTTTCACTTAGTTCAAGGATACTCCCTTAATGAGATTTGGAAGGTTTTAGATTTATTTGTGAAATTTTGATTTTTTTTTATTTTTTTATTTTTTTGGATTGGAAACAGGTTACATGACATAAACAACAAATTGGAAATATGACTAGGTCTGGTTTGTTCTCCAGAATTATGATTGGAACATCCTCAAATAAATTTAGGATTATTGAAGTATAGTATAATGGGTAGAAATATAGGATAACGAGTAGAGATCTAGAGATTTTGGTGGAGTTTCATGGGGTTTAGAGTGGTTAAATGCTTATGTGAATAAAACTAGTCCAGCTAAAATAGAAGTTTTGGTCGGCCCTAGATATAGGGATTTGACTTGGATTTTAAGGGAGAAACATGTCTTTGATTTTTCTAAGATTAGTTACAAACACAAAAACACACTACAAAAGTTTGCAATAAAAAAAAACACAAAAATTAAACTCTACTCACCAAAGTAAATGATTCAAGAGGATCCTAGGTTGGTCGGCCAGTAAGCCACCAAACACCTTAGAATTTCTTTCCAAATATGTCACACAATCAATTGCTTCATTTCATTCCAACAAAGAGAGGTTTATACAATTAACGCAAGTCCAAGAAACACATTGATGTAGAACGGAGGGGTGTGTAATAAAAAAAATTAAATATCTAATATTCATCATCAATTTCCTTAATTAATGGATTTGAATTTGAAATTTAAACAACAAAGAAGGGATGGAAGAGGGGAATTAATTAACTCCTTAATTGAGGCATTTAATTAGGAAGGAAATCATTAGGATAGAGGGGAGAGAGGGGCGGCCAAAGGAGGAGGGATGAAAGATGTCCATATTCGATGTATGTGGATCATAGCATTAAAGTCGATGGGGTAATTAAATCTGAAATTAATTTCAGATTTGGAGGGATTGGAGGGGCTTTCTAAATTAGATCTATTGATTAGGAAAGAGATTTGAAATTCAGATTAATTTGGATTCAAATTAGATACTTTCTAAGTTAACAAAAGATTAATTTAGGAAGGTAATGAAGAAGCTATTTTGAATTTGAAAATTCAAAATTTGTGCATGAAGAGGAGGGCCGGCGATTTCAAGGAGAGAGTGTGAGGGAAAATAATTCAAAGGGGTTTCCTAAATAGAACCAATTAAATTAAAGATGTGATTTAACAATTTGTTTTAATTTAATTCTAATAGGAGATTGATTGAAGAATTGAAAACTTTCAAAATATAACTTATATTAAATTAGGAAAGATTTCAAATTTGAATTTGATTTCAAACTTAGATTAATAATCCTTCCAAATCTAACACAATCTATATTAGGAAAGGAGTAAGGGCTAGGAAAAATTTTGTAAACAAGGCTAGGGGAGGCCGGCGGCTAGGATCTAGGTTAAGGTTAGGTGGCCGTGGCTGTGAGGTTCAAGGCTGAGCTAGCCGGCGGTTGGGGTGGGGGTGTGGGGAGGAGAAACGAAAAACTTGTACTAGAGAGGGGATTGGAGCCGGCGGTAGAGAGAAGAGGAAGGTGGTGGTCGGTCGAGAGTTGGGATAAGGGGAGAAAAGAGAGAATGAAGGAGATAGGGAAAGAAGATAAATCGTGAGCCCAGACACATCCTGCGACTGACGAGTGATGTGATGCCCTCACCTAGGGACTTCAACCACGAGCCCGGACACATCCTACGGCTGGTGGGCATTTCATTGCCCTCACATAGGGACTTCCACTCTCCTAAGAACTCCCATAGCTCTCAAGAACAAAGTGTAGAAACAATTTTTGTATTAATCCATCATTGTCTAATATAAGAGCAAGGGCCTCTACATATAGACCTTAAAAGAAACTAAAAGATAAATTTGCCCCTTGGGCTTACATAAGACAATACCCTTAACTAAGGACAAAAACAAAAAATGCAGAATTAAAAAAATATATAATTAATAAACTAAGATAAAATGGAGGGATCTCGGTCGTCGATCATCGTCTCTTCCTTTGATTAACGTCCATCGTCGAATGTCCGCATCACACATCTCCTGGCATTCAAACTCAAAAGAAATTGGGAAAACAAATGAGGGAGGGACAACCCCTTGCTCCATGCATGGGCCCACTAGAAACTACCTACAATCACCTAACTCCTTTCATGTACGCTAGCATGGCCGGTCCTTACTTCCTTAACCATGATTTAGACTAAACGTATTAAGCACTTGCAAAGAAAATACAACATTAGGTAGCCCAAACAACATCTTACAACGCCATATACATGAAAATACATAAAAACATAACAAAAAATACAAAAAAAAAAACACAAGATAATGTAAATGTTCATGGTTTCTTCATGGTTTGAGGTTCTAATAGACTTGCTCTTGTTTTAGTAATAGGATCAAATCCATGGGCTACATCACAAATTCTCTAGCTTTGCAAATTCCTCAATCTCCATGAAATAAGTATGTTCTTAGTTTAGACCTAATCAACCTTGCCCTCTTTTCATCATAATTTGACCAAATTGAGGTGGTCCACTTGCAGCTAGCATCCTCATAAATTCTTGTTTAATTATAACCAGAATTGTGTTTATTGTAACATGCCATCTACCGTTGACATCCCATTCAATTATTAACCATATCTCACCACAATCAAGTTAGATTGTTCCATTTTAATTTTGAGGAATATCTTATCTAGCAAGCATCAAATTAGAATTAATTATATATAACTTTTATAATTATCCATAAACCTCTTCAAACTTCAGCCTACCCTAAACCCTAAACTTCAGCCTTGTGATTTGAACTTGTTGCCGACAAAATTAACTATCTCAGAATTTGTGTGACAGCTTCTCACTGTAAAGCACAAACTTTGAAATTTTTTTCTTTTAAGGGCTCATTTGATTTGAAGTTAGAAATTTGTCAAGATAAATGGTGAAATTTGTTAGATCCATCATTTAGTTGGATGCAGAAATTGATTTTAAATGCCACAAATCAACTCAAAATTACAACAAATATAATTATTCCCTTTTCACATACAAAAATGGTGAAAACGAAATAAATCATTTTCCAAAGCACATTTTCTGTAAGCAACCAAATGAGCCCTACGATGAAAAGAAAGCATGTTAGGTAATGATGATGATGGTAAGATGACTCGTGGATCATTTCCCCGCAACCAATAATAAAGGCAATGCTGGAAGAGAACCCACATGCATGATTGCTTCCAAGGCTAATTATGATCATGCTGGCAGATATTAAAATTAGCAAGGTTCTGCTAATAAGGAAGCGTAACGTATACCTAAAATATCAATAACGGAATAACCAAAGGAAACCAAACTAGCCCAACCACAACCATGATGCAGAATACTACCATTACTAACTATACTTTTATCAATGCTATATTAGGGTTCTAAGGCATTCTCTGAAACCTATAAAACTCTATAAATTTGACTATACATAAAAGACAGGATAAAAATATGATATGTTGAGCAGTGCTGCACCTGCCATGTGAACAAAGAAAGAAAAGATAGCATGCTTCCTGTCGAGTCAATGCGAACAGGGCCCAACTTAATGTAAAATATTGATTCTTGGATGTCCAGAACTCAACAAATTTTACTCCTAAGATAAATAGACATCATCTATACATTTATTTAACCGTAAAGCTTAATGGAATAGGTTTTGGAATTCAAACTGAAAAGATAAATGGCATTCAATTTCAAATAGCCATGAACTGAAGTGCATATAGATCAGTTTTTAAACTTCAGCTTCATTTGGTAATGCATTTCAATAGCATTTCTTTCAAAAAACCTGTCAAATCACTATTTGATTTGTGTAAAACCACAACAAAAAATTTTCCTGCATATGTATGTTACGCGTGAACCGGCCCAGGAGGGGCCGGCTGGACCCGGTTCAGCCCGGGTCTACACCAGGCGGAGGCGGAAAAGCCCAAAGGAGGGGGCGGACAAGGTGGACCCCACTTGGGGCTGATTTAATGAGGTGGGAGGGAAATTTTTGAATGCAAGGGGGTGTTTAGGTAATTTGTAGGAATCCTTTATTGTTAATTAGGAGGATTAGGAGGGAGAGAGGATCATCTTGAATTTGAATGTAATTTGAGATCTAGGGTTTTCTGGCTTGGGCTCTTGGCGTTGCCGGAGAAGATCGGAGAGTTGTTCTTCCTCTCGAATCGAAGAACATTGTATCTTGCTTTTGCTTTGATCATCTACTAGTGGAATATAAGTCCATTGAACGTTTTCTCTCAGTTTTTCCTACGATTCTCTACTGTTTTCATACGTTTTGGGCTGAATTCCTATAGAAAACAGCAACTTTCTTGTTGTTTTCTCCACGTGGAGAGATAGGAATACTTGGATCTAAGTATTTCCTATCAATGTACTCCCTACACCACTTCCTGAGCAGCTCGGCCATCTCCATACGAGTAGCAATAATTTCCAGCACAGCAAAAAAAATATCAAACAAAGCTTTAGTGATGATAGAAAAAAGGTATCTTACTTTGGAGTTTTCATATAATTGTGCCATCTATGAGCTCCATTAGGACGTAGATGATCTTGAATCCGTGCAGCAGATTTTCCATTTCCATAGGTGAGAAAGTAGTTGGGATTGCCGCGTGTTGCTTCCTTGTACAGTCCAAAATAAGTTTCCTTTGGTAGATGATCATAGTTTTTCTTGAACATGGAGATCTTGGGGCAAGGACCATATACACATTATTAGCAATATAAACATAAAATTTATTATCAGTAAATTAGATAAATTGCGGAGCATTTCATTTCATTCAATAACTGAAAACAATAGTGTCAATATGACAACGTACAAGCCCAAATCTAGTGCTCACATTCCCCTAAAAAAAAGAAACATGTGAGCCTATAGGACCTACCCTCAAATAAAACAACTAAAGGATCCAAACCGTTGACATGTAACAGGTCCTACTTTATTGCAAGGTTCCAAATTGCATCATAGGCACTCCTTGCTAACACAAGGAAAAAAGATTGATTAGAACTACAGCCAAGGACCGACATGGTACATTGGAGGAATTGAACAGTAAGAATAAAAAATTAAATACTGAAACAACATGGAATTATTGGCCCTAAAATGGTTCATCAATTTATCAAATAAATGAGAATAATCGTATATCTAGCCAGCAACAGTAGTATTAGGTATATTTCTACAATCCCCGTTGTAAAGAAGTATCACTGATGGGGACATCAGCAGGAGATTCCGGCACGTCTATCATCGGAAGAATCGTTGATCGATGGTTACGATTCGGAGTCTTTATTTATGAAACATTTTATGTATAATTTTATTTTGTGTCTTAGTCTTTACCATTGTACCCTTATAAGGGCTTAGTTCATGATGTAGCCCAAAGGGCATTTTAGTCTTTGCATCTCTTTTTACTTTAAGACCTATATATAGAGGTCTTCACTATTGTATGAAGTTAATGATTGATTAATGAAAATTTTCAGACTTCTAGTTCTCTTGAGTGTTGAGATCTCTGGAGAAAGAAGAAGTCCCTAGATGAGGGCAAAAGCAATACCCATCAGCCGTCGGAAGAATCCAGACTCACAATCTACCTCCCCTTCACTTTCCCCACCACCGGCCACCCTCCCTTTGCTTCCAACCGCCGGCCTCCATCCATCTCCACCCCTACCTGCCGGCCAAGACCTCCCCTCCATCCAAACCTGCCGGCTAAACCCTTACCCCAACCCAAACCGCCAGCCAACCTCCACCCCTCACCCCACACCGCAGCCATTTTTCCACCAACCCCTAGCCGCCGGCCCACCCATCCATTACCCCTTGATTCCAAGTCAATTACATATTTATTACTTTCCAAATATAGCTTTTATTTAATTTGGTAAAGTTTCTTGATGAGGACATCGACAGACGCTACCGACATGTTTATCGACGAAGGAATCGCAGATCTACGGCCTACTTTTGATTCATCTTTCATGATATGTTGTTTAGTTATTGATCGTTTTCTGTTTTTACCCCTTTGAGGAGTTGTCATGTTATTGTAGCCTAGAGGGCAATTTAGTACTTTTCTTTTCATGAGTGGAGACCTATATAGAGTGGTCTCATATGTTGTAATTGGCTCGATGAATGTTTAATAAAATTTCTTGTGTTTCTTCTTCTTCTTGTGTGATCACTAAAGAGAAGGGAGAGAGCTCCAGGTGAGCAAGTGCAAGGCCCACCAGTCGTTGGAAGAGTCCACGGCTCATGGTAATTTCTTTTTTTTTTTTTGTGTGTTTCTCTCATCCTCCTTCCCCTCCCCACCCGCCAGCCCCTTCCCAAGCCCACCTCCACCGGTTACTTAACCACTTCCACCCATTTCATCCTCTAGCTCCCCACCTCAAGTCCAACCACCATCAAAGCCCACCCCAACCCGACGGCAAATTCCCCTCCACCCTTGGACTGCCAGCCCCATCCTCATTAGCCAAATCATTATGATGATTTCAATCATCATAATGAGTCCTTAATTTAGATCTAACATTAAAGGAAGGAATTGGTGAATTTTGAAATTCAAAAACTTTCCTTATTTGTGAAATCTAAATAAGGAAAGTTTTCAAATTCGAAATCCAAATTTATTTAATTTTAGGACTCATTATTTTCCCTCCTAATTGTTGAAGCTCGTTTGGAAAGCACTTAATTCCCCATAATCCCCTCCTCCCTCTCTCTCTCCGTGACACCGGCCCCAACTAGGGCTTCTCCACATTAATTCTCATTCAATGCCTTAAGTGCAATTAATTTGAAATCAAATATCAAATTAGTTCCCTCCAAATTTAATCAAAATATAAAATTAATTTCAGATTTGGATTAAAGCCCACCTCCATCCTAACCGAACCTAAGCTCTTTCAAACCCTAGCCACCTCCCCACCTCTTCAAGCCGTCCCACCCCTCTCCCTCCTATTCAAGCCGCCGACCTCCCTCTCCACCCCCACTTTCTCTCCTTCTTCTACCTCCTTGTGTTCTCTCCCCTCTCCGTGTGTGCCTCCGTTTCTTCCGGCCAACATGCATAGCGGATTCGGAAATTGATCACGGGCTCGTTCTCAACTCTCGAGGGGAGGTTGACATCATGTCACGACCCGACCCGAACCGTTCTTTGATCCCGGATTTGGAGCCGAAGCCACCGTCAAGAAATATGTGGATCGTATCCTTCCCCGATTAGCGGAATTCCTCGACGAACAAAGGTCTCTTGAAGAATGGAAGATCACTAATCGACTACCCATTTCTCCGTCCGTGGCTACCTCTCCATCAACGAAGACGTTCGGTACCATCTTCCTAGTGGTAGTTTCTTTCATCGTATGCTTCGTCTTCTTCCGCTAAAGCTTACGAGTGATTAAGTGAGAAGGTCCCCTAGTCGACGAGCACCAAATCTCCGGACAGTGGCGGGTTATTGTTCATCCACCGACTTATTTCCCTCCGGCTAAATTTTTGTTGGGCAATACTGCAGGCGTCTTCTGTCTCTTAGTGGTGTCATTAGGTTTGCTGAATTTATTCTTCCGCTAAGACAACCCTCAAGAGTGAAATTGAGAGGCACTCAAGGTGAAATTTATATTTGTTAACTGGTGGATTTATGTTATTTATGCATCAAGTTTTATTTTAATTTTGTTGTTATTATAAATTGCCCTGCTAATCTAGTTTGTACTCACATGCCAAAGCACATCGACAACTAAAAAAATCCTAGAATCTAATGTTGTGAAACATTAATTTTAAAATTAGCAAGTTTAACAATTTTTTATTAAATTTTTGCAATCCCTATTATGTTTCACATCAATCTCATTACCCATGAACTAAAATAGTTATTTCAGTTTTTCATTGTTTTTCCAAAGGTAATTTCGCCAAGTTGGCTCCATAGTTGATTTCCTTATCCTTTTGAAAAGAAAAAAAGAACGACTTTGCATTTTTCAAAAAAGCATGCATAAGGTTGAACAATAGATTCATGTAAAAAGTATGCCCAAACTTTCCTTCTTGCTTAGGGTGACTCAATTCAACCCAAAAAAATGTATTAGGGTTGTGTCAGCCAACAGTTGGGAACTTCGACTAGCCAAACCTGACCCAAATCAAGGATGTAGGAAGTTCACCAAACTTAGGCCGGCCACCCACAATCCAAGGAGTGGTTTGGCACATCTTCATTTCCCAGTTCATGAATGGACGCCTATTAGTTTATTTTCCCAGTTCATATGTGTTTTTTCCTTCTTTTGGCCTGAAATGGTGCTTATATCACCCCTCTACGATTTAACCACCCTCTCTCCTCAACCTATACATAGAGGAGGGCCAAGGGGGAGGAGAAAAGTTCTTAATGCTGTGAATGCTGGTATTGAAATTCCAAAGGTTCACACAACCTTTATAAGCATGTATAGTGTTTATATTAATTTTTGTGCATTTGCTTCTTATTTTAGCCTTGGCCAATGCCTTCTCTCTTTGTTCCTCTTCAAAGCATTAAAAAGCTTCTTCCAAGAGCACATCACTCCTTTTAAAGGGCTCTCTCACTCATTTTCTTCTTACGCTTGTCTGATCACTTATCGCTTCTTTTCTCTTCCCTAGAACTAATTAAAGGGGTTATTGGAAAAAATTAAACACTAAGTAGAAAAGGGTTCCAAGAGGGTCATAGTCAAAGGGTAAAATGGTTTTTTTTTTTTTTTTGTGAGATGCTAAGCTCACTGATTAGGAGTGCAAAAACTGAGAAATTCAAATCAGAATATCATAGACAGTTACAAGGTCTTCAATTTAGCTTGCTGAGTTGGCTGACCCTAAGGGAAAATTTATGATGTGCGATGGTAGCTTTAGTGGCTTCTCAACAACATGGGATGAAAGCCCGTTGCACTAATAAGTCAGACGCAGTTGAAGCTCACTGATACTAGGTTTTAGGAGTTAGCTCATGGTGTTGAAAGCCACTGAAATGGTCATCAACTTTAAGGGTAGTAGTCATGGAATTTCTTGTAGTTCTCTGAGTAATGTGGATAAGAAATGATGATGTGTGTACTGTGGATCGCTAATGTTAAAACAGAAAAGGTGCGGCTAAAGCTCAAATCTTGTATGGTGTCATCTAATGGCTTGCTAACTATTTTATTTTAGGCCAACCAATTTTAGCAATCATAGAGATGAATATTTCACTAAGCTTGCTTAGATATTTGGCCATGACACGCTCAAGATGTCAACTCAATATATTTAAGGAGGGGCAAAGTGAATATTTTAAGGTCTATTTAGCTTAGTGTATGTTCCTAGTTGATTTCACTGTAAATTGAATGACAATATTTATCAAAAGTTTTAGGAATGGTGAACTTAATATTAAAATTAATTGGTTATTATTTAAGTTTATTCAAAATTTATTTTAGAGCTGATAATACAATTCACGTTCCTCTAGATATGCGCATAAGCACCAAGATTTATGTCAGATCATGCCAAACAAAGCATGCAACTCATGCCAACTCTGAAAATTGCATGCATATTTCTTTTTTTAATGAATAATTCCCAAACTCGTTAATATTCCAAATAATGATAAACTCTACCTCCTGAAGGATATCAAAGGCAATAGCCACCACATCATAGCTGAACATAAAAGAGAATGGTAGTCATGCCCAAATCTAAGAGATCCTTGACACATTGAGGAAGCATTCTAAAGAAGCCTTAAAGAGGCTCATGTTATCCTTTACATTCTTTCCTTTGGGTTTCTAGAAGGGGAAGACAATCATATGTTGGCCGTGGTTGTAGTCTTCAATTCCATCATGCTAGAAAAACATGTATGGGTCTTCAAGGTGCTTGTCTGTTCAGTCTGAGCTTGATTTCCTGGCTTCATTTAAATTTCCTATGCATTTGCTCGAATTCTGCATTTGTGCTCAAGTACAGGTCCTCTGTTTGCTGTAAATTTTGGCAACATCCCGAAATATCCCCTGTTTGTGAGAAATGTGGGGAGCTGGGTCTTCCCACCACGCTGCAAGAGCGTGTATGGTAGGTGTCCGTAGACACCGCGGCCGTAGTCTTCAATCCCACCAGGCTACAAAAGCGTGTATGGATCTTTCAGGTAACTGTTTGAAAATGCACAGTTTTCTTTCCCTGCAGGCACTAAGGAGCGTACGGAGCATACGGGTACTTAAGATTATCCCCACCTCGTTACAAGAGCATGAATAGAGCCTAGAAGAAGATCATTACCCTTTAAAAGAACACCGTTGTTGACTTTCTCTCTTCTTTTTCCTATTTTAATCATTACCATCCATCTTGTATGGCCTCTTCAATAATGCCTAGAAGAAGATCATTACCCAGCATCACTGTTGCTACTGGTGAAGTATAGCTTTGTATATATGGGGAGTCTTTTGCCAGGTGCATTAAAGAATATAGATATATTTTGTGCTTTTAAAAAATTGACATCCTTGTATATTAAAGCCTTTCAATGGAACTCCACTCCATCCAACTTAATAAATTTATATGTCCATAAAAATTGTATCTGATATTCTCCTCTTTGTTTTATCTATTCTTCTAAAATTTTCATTGCTAATCTTTGTACTGAATGAAATGCTTCTCCTAATGAAACTATGCCCTTTATAACTTAAACCATGGTATTCTAAATGTGTAAAACAAATTTTATAAATAATAGCACAAGAGGAACGATATACGTAAAAGAAGAAGAACACATGCCAAGTGCCACTGAACTATGATTTTCTACTAGCACAAAGTTCCAATTTCTAGAGACACCTACAAATGCTAGAACGGGAACTATTGCATGACAAAGCCTCATGCCAAACTAAACAATGTACTGAATATTTCAGATGTTCTTCTACATACAGACTCAATTTAATGGATAAAGCCAAACCATTTTGAAATTAAAATAGGCAACATTATAAAGCAACCTTCCCATATAATATTTATAAATAATTCAGATCCACTCTTAGCCGTCTTATTACTTGGTAAGTCAAGATAGCCTTCATCAAACATGGAAGACAACTAGCATACTTGGAGAGAAGGGAAAATTGGAAGCCATAGATTGAAAAAGGCATTGACATTTTTGGTTAGTGAACACAACATTCAATGGAGAATTTGATTCTTAATAGGAACAATAGATAAAAAGAATTCATGTAGCCAACGCCACAGTGGGATAAAGGCTTGTAGTTGTTGATGTCGTTATTGAACAAAACATTCAATATTATTTTAAACTGTCTACTGCATTTCAGAATTTATATCAGGCAATTCATTTAAAAGATTCAAATGTTTTGTTCTTGTTATCATTGTTTAAATAGGACAATGCCTGGAATTGAGTAATGGGCAATGCCTTGAAGTTTCCCATATCGAGAGCAACCAAATTTGTTCAAGGCATCTTATATGGTCACAGCACACAAGGTTTTCTTCTTGTACGAAAACAGAAAAGTCAGCTTCTAAGAAAAACAACATTGCAGTTTTTCTAATTGTACAACAAAAAGTGCACAATAAAATCATGGAAAATACTCTCACTAGAAAAGATGCAGAAGGCTATCAATTTATCCATCTTAACCATATCCAGGCATTATAGCTACAAAAAACGGCTTACTGCATATATTCTGCAATCCAGTGCAAACTCACTTACCTCACTAAATGGGTCTTTGATGTCATCTCGTTCGATGCTACTTTCCTGGAAAAAGAAACAAAAATCAGATGCAAAACAAGTTAATTCGCATAAATAAATAATTGAAGGGTTATTAAACTCACATAATTGGGAAAGATAACCATATCAACATTGCTAGGAACATCTGAAAGCAGCTGCCTTAATGAGTATTCTTGGGCTCCCACTGGATGTAATAATTCATCAGTGTCAAGATGGATAATCCAATCCATTCCAACATCCTTTTAAAAAATAAAATAAAATTTCATGATATCAGAATTCCATTGAATCCATACAGGGAAGTGAAAACTGAAACTTTTTTCCACTATTCACAAGCAATAAGAAAAGCAAAAAGTTTCAACTCCTTGAAGAATCTTGTGCAAAACAAATAAAAAAACAAGAGAGATAACAGCACAACATATGAACATACTGACTCGATGTAGATGCAACTTCTACAATGATATGAAGGGAAAATTGAAACTATAACCCTAAAAATATTAAAATTGTTCATACCCGTGCCATAACAATTGCCATCTCCATGTTAAGCGATTGTTTAACAAATAATTCATAGTTACATGGTTTGTAAAAGAAATTTGACAGCCAAGTCTCGTTCCATATGCGGCTGCAGCAAAAAAGAAAAGGAATTTTTTTATCAAACTCATATAAGGTTCATTAGTAAACAATATAAATATAAATGCATTTTCCAGTTTCCTTCTACATAATAATGATGCATTGCATAAATCTAATCTAGCTTAAAAGAAAGTGATTATGTATCAGAGTCTTCTAAATCAGAGTATATAATTACCCAACTTGTAAAAGCATGTTTCACCTAATTTTTAAAAAGTTCTTTGGCAATGTGATAGGCATAAAGTATGTGCAAAAAACAAATATGATTAGGCCAAAACTTTATTGCTTTTTCATGTTATGTCAAACAAGAACAAATTTGCAAAACTCAAAAACCATCAATGGAAGAGATGTCCAAAATTGGCAAACAACATGAAAAACAGATAAATCAATTTAAGAAGAAAATCCAGCAGAATGAAAGTGAGGGTTAAACATTTGGGCCCAAGATGAAGCCCTTGGCTTCAGTGTTCTCTTCATCTTTCAAGTGAGTTGAAATCTTCTTAGTTCTTTCTTCACCGTACAAATAAGCTAATGATCCTCCTCAAAAAAATAAAAAAATAAAAACTTAATTATATGAAAATGCATGTCTCTTCTAAGAAACTTTTTAGTTTTGCCCTTGATTGGAACAATTGGGCTATAACATGGCGACACTAAAACTGTAGCACTTAATAGTATGGTATCAATATTAGAATGTCATTTTAAAAGTAGGCAAAAAGACAATCATTGCTGATATAAAAATGTCTGAGAAAGATATTAGATCAGGAATATTTTTTGCAATTAGATGCCTGCTTCATCCCTCTTCGCTAACACCTCGTCCATAATGCACAGAATCTTTCACTCTTAGATTACAATTATGTACATATGGATAAAGTACAGAGATAAAATAAATAAATAAATTTCAAGATCCCTGATGGTTGTTGGTCCCAATGACGCACATATAAGTCTTCTTGTGCATCCAAACGCAAATAAAGGAACAATCAAAACATAAAAGTGGATCAACTAGCAAATCATAATAGCAAAAGGAGGTAATCCAAACATGTGGCCATAGTTGTGCAGGTTCACTGCAGTATAAGCCATTCAAGAAGCACTATTTGCTAAATCATGTTGATGGATGAGAAAAGGTCTAAGAATTTAAAGGATAGGCTATGGCAACTATGTTGATATCATATGAAAAGAAAAAAGTTCACTATCTGATTAAATTTTGACTTAGTAAGATAAGTACAGTTTTAAGTCTGCGTACTGATGTGGTACAAATCCTTTCCAGGAAATTACCATAACTACAGTGAACAACTTAGTAAACTTAAGACCCTAGTACTTTCACTATCTTTCCGTATCCTTTACTATATACATTCCTCACAAAAAAAGGAGTGCATGCATGTTTGTTTATAATTCACATGGAAGAAGAAGGTATCTCATTTTCCTTCTTATGGTTAATATAATTAAAACTTTAAAACTATATAATGGGGAAAGCTTCTTGTTTGAATCCTATCTTAAAGGCTTTTATGAAAAAAAAATCTAAAATATTAATAAGATTTAGAAGGTTAAGGAGGATATCGAGGATCAGAAGGCAATACAGGTATGTTTCAGGTGTCAAATTCAGTTGTACACTAGTACTTCCATATCTTGTAGCTTATATTTGCTTAATAACTGGCCATTAAACCATGCATCCAAGTAACTAAAGTTTTAGCATTTAACCTTCCATCCTACAATACATCAAAACTATTCAATATGTACTTTTCCAGATTTTTATCTCAAAAGCATGAAAACTTTAAAAGGTTATAGTTTTCAATTGTAAGCTTCTAAGATCCTTTGAGCAAGATTTCCTGGTGCTAGTAATTAGTGTTTTGAATGAATAAAGTTTATTTTTAACAAGAAATTAAGTATGATACATCAATGAATTTGATATAACAATAAGGCGAAACTAAAACTACAAATGTATGCTACTTATGAACAGCCTACAGATACTCTAGAAAGCTTCCATAATATTGTTTTAATAAAATGGATTCAAAGAATAAAAAATTGGAGTTACTAACCTTTTAGCCTGCTTATCTTCAAGTTTAGCAGTTCTGTATATCACTTTCACACCCTGCCATCAGAAATCGAAACGTTCAAAAGATACATTACTCAAACCTGTTTTAGTTTCCCCCTTCTCACCCAACCAGCGGTCACCCATCCCCACCCCACACACGCACACATACAAGGTAGATTAAGATGGCTTAATCAAATGAAACCTAATTAACAAATAGGTGCAATAACTCACAGGAATTGATTCAAGGACTGCTGAAACATCAGGCTTCGCAGCTGTACCTTCCACAAACAAAAGGAACTTGGAAACCCCAATAACTTTATGGAAATACAACCATGGTAAAATCTGCTCTAATCCAGCAGACGTGCTTGATGTGATGCAGATCTAGAAAGCGATGTCATATTAAACCCAAAATTAGGTATCTAAAATACGATCTAATGTAGAGTATTACTTCTTCTTTGGATTTGTCAGATGTGAACAAGAAAAAAGTTGATATTTATGGAAAAGGCTAATAACAAGAATCAAGCAAAATTCATTCGTACACATTAATCTCCCGGTAATATTAAATTATTAATTCATACTGATTAGCAGGGTACTGGTCGGCATGTGATATACAACTTCAGAGTAGGAATTTATGTTCCATCAAAATAAACATGCGAAAAAGGTGCAGTTATACGAAGAACCAATTCAAGCACACAAACAAACAAAGAAATTTGCAGGAAGTTAAGAGCAAAACAAGCAAAAGTGAATAACCAAGGCATAGGAGGAAAAAACTAATCTCACTCTGGGTCGCAGATTAAGATCAGAATCATAGCTCGATCCGTGGTAGTAAGGCAGAGATCCAGAGGAACTTCGGCTGAGAATCTCTACGCAATCAGAGGATGAGGACGACGAAGAAGAGCGGGAAACTGAGGAAAAGGTGGAGGCGCCCGAGGATCCGATTGGGCTATTGTCCATTCCGGGGAAAGTCTGCCTGTCGCTAGGCCAGGCAGAGGAAGGATCGTTGATCTCACCGCGCCATTGGAGCATAAAGGCAAATGCCGCAAGAGCGAGGGGAAGAGCCGTGAGGAGAAGGACTATCCTCGATGCAAAGCTCGCGCTGGAAGTGGTGGAGGAGGCCTGCAGCCTCAGAGGGCCATTGAGACCCGCCATGAGAAAGATCGAATCTGGGTGAAATCTATGGGAGTTGCAAGCAGAGTACGGACATCAGAGGTGAAGACGGCAGGCGTTAGAGAGCTTTCGCGGCGACTTCAAGTTAAAGATACGCTCCTCTCATAATTCCTCCATAAATGACAACGAGAAGTAACTCTGAACTTTATCTAATAATAAAAATATGGGAAATTTATATATTTTATGTTTTTTTGTTTTTTCAACGATGCTTATATATCCAATATCTAAAATATTAATATTATATATCTATCAGTCATATACAAATTTAATATTAAATATATCACACCTCTAATTCTTTTCTATCATTTATAAATAAAGTGATATGTATGTAAATCTTTGGCAAAACGTTGGATTGTTTAATTTTAATATTAAGGTTCATTTGTAAGAATTTTTTTAATATTTTTAAAATTATTTTTAGTATAAATTTTTTTAGTTTTAGAACTTTTATATTAAAAACTATTTTAGTAAGTTGTATGGAAACCATATAAATCATATTTGGAAAAGATGCTCTAATTTATATAAGCTATCTTTCACACAAAAAACCCCTCATATTTTCAATATTTTCTTTTTCTATGGCCATTCTCATTTAAGAGTGATCATTTTGACTTTTGAGGCAAATTTCAATGCAATATTTTCATTTTTGCCTCCATACTTTGTTAGCTGGTGATGTTTTTCAATGTTAGTGATATTATATGGTTGCGCTCATAACCTTAACCCAAAAAGGATATTAGATATAAAATTACTAGCTTCAAATATTTCTCAAAACTTATTTTGACCCTAATCGAAAAGTGTTTAGCATATGATTGAACATTTTTTGAAGCTTATTCGAAACTTATTTGTATTCTGAAACCATGATCAAATAATTGTCTGTAATAATCTAAATTTCAGCGTCGTGCTTTGCTGAACAAGAAAGAGGAAAGATAGAGAAGGTCGTTCAGGTTTTTTACATTCGTCAATTTTGTTCAAAGATTTTTTTCTATTCTTTATAAGTAACACAAATATAATTTTAGTTTTCAATTATTTTAAGTATTATATAGATTTTCTTATATTGAATAGAATTGATTATTTCTTACTATATTTTGATTTTCACATTTGCATAAACAAGAAAGGTAGTTGTTAACATTATAAAATGAGTTGATTATTGAAACATAATACCTTGCATAGCAGGATGGTCGACGAGCTTTCCTTTAAATATGATTTGTGGCGTTATTTTCTATTGTTGCCTATAATAAATGAATGATTATGCCAACGGACATAGAGTAATAACTCTTTGTTGATTTAATGAATCCGCATATAATGATAATTGATTAAATGAATATGATAATTGATTGATTGAATAAGTGATAATTGGTATGACTGATAATCAACTAGAAAATAGTTTGGGTAAAAGATATTGAAAATAGCACGCTAAAGTTGAATGTCCTCTCTTGATAAATCATACATTGATGCATGCATACAATGATAGCACTGATGACATTGATATATACATATTAATATTATTAATAATATTTGATGCATTGATACTATATAAATAGATGATGTATATGAATAAATAAGATAAATTTCTGTAGTGATATATAAATGATTTATGTAACAATGTTTTATCCATTTATTGAATTTTAAATCAAATGTTGATTCTCACATTCATTGCAATGATTCTCTGCTTTTATTATTGATCATTTTGAGTTATGTTAATAATATTTAATCATTAAATATATTGATTACTATTAATTATATTAGACAAAGCATTTTATATTATTTTTTTTGTCCTTGTGTTGAAAGTTTTAGCGAGTTTTGGATTACTGTTAGGCTTTTAAGCTCATTATGTAGATTTTAATGACTTTAGGTCTGAGAATGGATTAGGATCAGGTTAAATGAGATTGTTAGAGATCCTCATATTTTCTTTTAATTTTATTTATATGTTCTTTTATTCTTTTGTAGCTAGGAGCTTGTGATAAAATAGTAATTTCACTGATCTCATTACTATAATATATTAATTTTGATAGAATGAATATAGTGCAATATTTTAAACCATGCAATTCTTAGTTTCTTTCACTATATATAGATTTATTATTTTGGTAATTTATAGAAGCTCCAATTATTTAATTAAGATGATAAAATAGAATATTCTTTCAAATTTGAATATGGGATAGCACAATTGTTTTCAGAGCAATTGTTGGAAGGACTGATTGAATAGATTGAATGAACTGTATGAGCTTACAAGAGCTATAGGAAATTGATTATGAGTCAAATAGATTAAGTAGATTAAGATGCATTGGTTTGCATCCATAATTAATTGCATAAGTGAATGATATGTGATTGAATGAATTATATGAGTGTATAATATAAATTGATTAAGTTTGTCAAGTTATGATTTGTGATTTATTTCGATTCGATTTGAGTTTTGATTTTACAGATTTTCTTATATTGATTTTGTGCCTAAATTTTTTAGTGAAATATAGGTGATGATTTTCTTATAGTGGGTAGATTGTAATAATCAAAATTTAAGTGATGTGCCTTGCCGAAGAAGAAAGAGGGAAGAAAGAAAAGGTTGTTTAATTGGGGCTTTTACATACATCAATTTTTTTTTTCAGATATTTTTTTATTTATTGTAACCCAAATTTCATTTTAATTTTTAATGATTTAGAGTACATAATTGATTATTTCATACTGCATTTTGATTGTAGCTGTTGCATAAGCAAAAAAGGCTTATTGTTAATACTATAAAATGGGTTAGTTGTTAAAATATAATATCTTGCAAATGAAGATGGGCTGACGGATTTTCCTTTAAAGGTGATTTATGATTTTATCCATGTTGTTGCTTGTAACAGATGACTGATTATACAGACGGATAGAGAGTGATGACTCTTTATTGATTTAATGAATCCACGTATAATGATAATTGATTAATCAAATAAGTGATAATTTATATGATTGATTATCAATTGGGATGTAGTCAGGATAAAATATGTTAAAATTACCACATTAAAGTTAGATGCCATGCCTTGCAAAATTATACATTGATGTATGCATACAATGATAGCACTGACGATATTGCCATATACATTAATATCATTGACAATATTGAATTCATTAATAATATATAAATAGATAATACATATGAATAGATAAGATAGATTATTTTAGACGTGATTTATGAATGATTTCTACATCGTTATTTTACCAAATTATTAAATTTTGATTGATGCTGGAATATTGTTCAAAAAACTTCTAGCAAAGTTGATCAAGATTTGATCATGCGATTTATGAAACTTCAAGAAAGTTTTAAATTTATTATTTTGGACTCCACTTCTTTTTTGCGATTAACTTATTTGAGTTATCTTACTTCATATGTATATATATATGTTTGGCGATATATAAGCATGTAGTTGTGATGGATAAAATAGTTAGGCATTTGAAGTCATTTGAGGTTAATGATATCTTTGTGTTGAATATGAGGGAGAAGCACACAATATTTAAATATGTACATATTAATCATATTTAGAAGCATTACAAATTGCTTTTCAACATAAGTGTTGTTTTTGGTGGATATGCTCTTGAAAATCAATGCAAAGTTTAGTGTCTTTATTTCATAATTACAAATAGAAAATACATTTTCTATTCTTTAATAAAATTTATTACAATCATGATGATCTTCAATGGCACATTTTGTGGTGATATATATGAGGTCAAATTTGTGCATTTTGTGGTCCCATGCATTTGGTAATATTCAGACACTTTATAGTAATTTAGTTGTGCGATATATGATATTATTATATTCAATTATATCAAAGGTTTTGCTATAGTTAATGTGATTGTATTAGCATATTATTGTAAAAAAATATAATTGATTTAGTTTAATATAAAACATTTTATTAAAAATTTATCTTCCATTGTGTTTGCCTTATAATGTATTGTCTTTGTTCAAACATTGAATGGGCCTTATTCAAATCCACAATTAAACTATTATATATATATTATAATAATGTCACGTTTGAACCATATTCAAACTATGATTGAATTTTTTTTTAATGAAGGGTTAATTTTAGAGTATGGTTCAAATAATTTTTATCGTGAATAGATTTTTTGTATAATAGATATTGTCAAATTTGTTCGAATATTATTTAAATATTGTTTAAATGTTATTTGAATTAAGTTTTAATCTAACAAACTTACAAAAGTAGTTTGCAGTTCAAAGCGAGAGTATTTTGATTCAAACAAAACTTTTTGTCATTTTCCTCCAAGAAACAAAATAGCGGACATCTTTCTCCAATTATAGGAATTATGGGACATATAAAGTGTTAGTATATATGGAATATGATTGTGTCGATCAATTGGATAGTACTTTTGCCTCAGATCTTAAGTCAATTGCTCGTGCTTGCTGGGGGTGCGGGAGATTCTCTCCGTGTTTTTGGGTTTGAGTGCTTCACACCCAAAAAAAATAATAATTTTTTTTTCAGGAAATACCCCAATGTTTTATACCCAAGTGTTCCCGACGTTGTGTTCCTGAGTATCCCAGTGCTGCAAAAGTTTGTGTAAGAAATGACAAAAAGGGGAGCGCCGCAGCGCTCTAGATTTGGCGTCGCAATTATGTGTAGTGCCACAATGCTACAGGTTTGAGCATCACAGCATCCTCATATGGATCGAGATAAGAGGTTTGAGCACAACAACGCTCCAAACTGGCATCGCTGTGATGCGGACTTGACAGTTTTCTTTCTCATTTTTTTGTAAGGTGGCGTCCCTTGACATTATTTACTTGTCTTTTTCTTATGTTTTATTAGAGAGAACGGTTCAAGAGAGAAGAAAATCAAATAGAGAGTGAGAGAAAATAGAGATTTGTTCTTAGTTCTCCTCATTTTTATAGTAGATTCTTGGTGTGGTGTAGCTCCATAGTTTTTCCCCGATTTCGGGTTTCTCCACATTAAATCCTGGTGTCATTTTACTTTTCGCTGCTTTTCTATTTTTCTTGATTTTTTCGTCGTGGTGTTTACACTTCGATCCCCCACATAAAGTCAAATTTTCCTTATAAATGTAATTTATGATTGCTTTTATTTATCAATTTCAATCTTGATTAGAATATTTATAAAGAATTTTTATACCTTAAAATTTTCGAACTCTTAGCATTAT